TCAGCTTACTGGGTAAATGTGGATATAGCCACTGTCACACTGCCCCAACAATTAAAGGGCCAAAATTCTCACTAACAATGAAATAATTAAAGGGCAGTACTAGGCCTGTGCCCCACACATATTTAAATAGTTAATCCTACTTTACATGAACTTGACTCTATGACAAAGAAAGGCCTGGGTACTTTAAAGGAGTTTCGGGAGTAATGCTTTTGGATTTACCAGCACAATGATGGATGTGAGGACTAAAGCAGGTGTGGCAGCACTGTCCTAAAGTCGGTTTGGAGCTTCTGGGAATCCTTAGGGTAATCCAAACAGTGTGAAATGGCTACAAGTGAAATCAACAACTTTCTAGGAATTGTGGGCAAGACGAAGCTAGGAAGAATGGACTGGCTTGTCAAGGTCAACATTCTATGCTATTTTACAGAACCTCAGGGCACTTTAGCCAACTCTTTACATAGATTAAATTGCTTAGGCGTACCTCAATTCTAGGTAGAGAGTGGATCCCCACCCCATGACTAGCAATGTAACATGGTGTAATGGTTAGTTTTATCAACTTGAGAAAATTTAGAATCGCTCAGGGAAGAGTGATTTTTTTCAGTGAAGGTATGTCTAGATCAGTTTGACCAATGGACACATCTATAGGGGAGTATTTAGATTACATTAACTGATGCAGGAAGACCCAGCCTAAAAGTGGGTAGCACCACTCCCTGAGTTTGTATGCTGAGGTGTGTAAAACTGGAGAAAGAGAGCTGGGCATAACATGCATGATTAATTCCTTCCCCTCTGCTTCCTGACTATGATGAAATATTGACAGCTGTCACAAGCACTGAAACTCCTCCAAATGATGGATGGGCTGTAACTTGGAACCATGAGCAAAAATAAACCCCTTTTCCTAGGTTGTTTTTGCCAAGTTATTTTAACTAGATGGTAGTAAGATTAATTCTCCTAGAAGCAAATCACAGACTAGTCAAGAGGTCCAAGAACAGTGGCTTCTCAATCAGCATGGTTTCACAGATGTAGTATTGTTTCACAGCTGACATCTCATCCTACATATATGGAAGCAAATTTAGTTAACTCAAAAAATACTCATGCGCCAGAAAACTAAGGCTGCTTCCAAATGAGACATTTGCTACTAATCAGATGAAGAAACATACACAAGCACACCTTCATTCCTGCTCTATTATACTTCAATAACTTTTAGTAAGATTACCAACCTAAGTATACAAATTATAAGAACCAAAAGTATATTAGCCCCCAAATTTGTAGATTTTATTTGTTCATAAAATATATCATTGGGGAAAATTAGCAGAATATTTTGTTCTTTATGGTGAGACTGATAAATTTTCTCTATTCCACTCCAATAAGCAGAATAACATTATCCAGCTGTGTGGAACATTTTGCCTTCTTAAGAGAAAAGCCTATGTTTTTGGGACTTCCTATTTTTCTTTTGGTTTAACAATGGTTCTTTAACAGACTTACCATATCCAGCATCAACCCACCCCAACTCTTTCTGATCCCAATATTACAATCAAGCCTTTGCACATCCAGAGACTCCTCAAATCTGCCTGTCTCAACCTCGGCTTTTCTAGGCTCTCCTCACTACTCTCATGTTCTCCTACCATTCTTTCAGAGAAGTTTGCCTTTAGATAATTTCAAATTATAGGAAACCAGGCTTGAGATTCTGCAGGCAACACCAAGCTCTCTCCAGTTCAGATCAACTTCCTATTCTCTAAAAAGACAAGAAGAAAACAGGGTAGAGGCCATACAGGGGTAACAAAAGCTAGCTGTCCTCCCAATCTTACAATCCACCATTCTTTCTCTGCTTTTCATCCATTACTTAGCACTGAGGTCATCACACTGATCATAATCTCACTACCCTGTTCTTTGTCGTGAAATCCCCTTCCACATCACTCACACCACAGGTTGACAGGAAATGCTTTCCTGGCCTCCTCTTGACTATAAGATTATGTAGTCCTGACTGTCCTGAAACTGACTATGGAGATCAGACTGGCCTTCTCTAAAGGAAACCTCATCTCACAAATTTTCTTCCTCAGCTTGGGGCACACCTGTAAACCCAACACTCCAGAGGCCGAGATAAAGAGAGGATGGTGAATTTGAGGCCAGCCTGGGATACATCATATGACCCTGTCTTTTAGAAAATGGAGATGGGGAGAGAAGTTAAAGATGTAGCACTCAGTTGGGAAAGCATGAAACCCTAGGTATGGTGACACATGCCTATAATCCCAGGACTCAGAAATCAGAAGATGGAGGCAGAAGGATCAGAAATATAGGGTTATACTAAGTGATATAGTGACTTTGAGTCCATCTGGAATAATAACAATAATTAATAATTTTATAGTCAAGAGGAGGTTGGTATAGTATTTTCTCTTAGATTATGTTGTGAGTGATGTGGAAGGTGATTCAATAATTTTTAGATTTCACACCAAAAAACAGAGTGGTTATTCAGTGAATGACAACAAAAAAATCCTGTATTTTTGGTTTGGTTTTATTTAAAATCTAGCTTGTCATAAGAAGAGACCCACACCCAAGCATTAGGTGGAGCTTGTGGAACTCCACGAAAGGTAGAGGAGGAAGGACTGTAGGAGCCAGAGCTGTCAAGGACACCAGGAGAACATGGCCCACAGAATCAACTAAGCAGGACCCATAGAGGCTCACAGAGACTGAAGTGGCAATAACAGAACCTGCGTGTTCTGCATACATGCCATGGTTATTTAGCTTTGAGTGTTTGTGAAACTTCTAACAGTGGGAGTGGGGGTGTCTCTGATGACTCTTTTTGCCTGCTCTTGGACGGAGTTCCTCGTCCAGCCTTGATACGAGGGTATGTGCCTATTCTTATTTACTGCATCTTGTTATGCCATGTCCAGATAATATTACTTGGAGGCCTGCTCTTTTCTGAAGGCAAATGGAGGAACAGTGGATCTGGGGAAGGGTGGGGTTCAAGGACTGAAGGGTAGGGAGGTTGCAGTTGGGATGTCATTGTATGAAAAAATAATTTAAAAAAAAATAGCTCCTATTTTGGACCATTTCATGCAATTTGGGTTTTAACAGGTCACTAAAGACCTAGCCAAACATAGTCTAGTCCAATTTGCACTGGCCAACAATGGCATCCTGAAACTGGATTCTAATTTGTCCTAACTTCAATTTAATCTTCTTAAAATGCTACATGTTGCTATGGCATGCCCAAACTCTACAGCACAACCCCCCCCCCCCCACCACCATAATGAGTTAATTACACTTCTCTTCCTCATTTCCCAGGGTTTAGCTATTTGGACTTAAACCTCAGTCATGTCTATTTCCTGGTCCTTCTGGTCAGTGGCTCAGTCCTTCTCCTTTACTGCACAAACTTTTCCTTTTCATTGAAATGTAAGTCCTCTTCAAAAGTAACAACATCCCACTTTTTATAAAACCTTCTTCATCAGCTCAAAAAGATGCTCATTTTCAAGCTCTTGTTGTTTTACTTTGAAATTTGGCACAGTGTTTGGCTTACTCACTAAACACGTTTATGGGAATATCTGCAAACACTACAGCTATTTACCTAATCCAAGGAGGCACAGAGTAAGTGTTCATTCAAAAAGGGAGAGAGATGGCATTAACAGCAGATGTACTGGCTTTGTCTATTTCAGAGAATATAGATTATTTCTTTTAATTTAAAAAAGGCAACTATATTTTCATCTTTTAAGAAAACTAAACAAAATTGAGAAAATTTCATGATCAAAAAAAAATCTAAAATCTTACAAACCAACACAAGTCCCCACCCCCATGTTTACATAAACATAGCAGTGCTCAACTTTGTGGGATTTCAAATGTTTCTACAACTCTTTCCTTTCTCTGGGCTTTTTGCAGAATCTGTGTCTGGCTGTACCTCCCTATGAACTTGTGACAGAGCAGAAGAAAGTTCTGTCAGTTTTGAAGGTACGTGAAATGCCATACAAATAAACTATGTCAGTACAAGTATGCACAGACAAAAATGCATTAAAGTTGCTTAATTCAAAGAAATATATAAATATATTAAATTTGCAGGACGCTGAAACATGAGTATATAAAATAGAACAATGAATATATCTTTTCTATTTTTTTTTAAATCCTTCCAAATCAGTACACATTTTAGAACTTAGGTATCAGTATTAACACTCTGCCATTCTTAGAGCAGTTAATGGAATGAATCTAATAAACTAATAGAATGAGTCTGGAATGTTATGGCTGTTGTGATTAAGAGTATCAAAGGTCAACCTGATAAAAATAATGTGAAATAAATCTTCCACTAGATTGGTGTCTGTATGTTTTATTCAACCTTGTATCCCTCAAGATCTAGCTCAGGTCATTTTATAGAACAAAAATAATTAAGGCTTTGCTGAAACATGAGGGAGAATGTGCCAAAGTACTACCTGAAAAATACAAAATGTTGAATGAAAAGGAAATCATTATTAATTAAAATTTTTCTACTGGAATCTTTGAGAAAATAAAAGCGCACTTCTCATCCCAGAGCTAAAAGACAGCTGGAGCAGGACTCTATTTCCCTCAGAGGATAAAGGCATTTGAAGGCAGTCATTTCTCTTAGTATTTGAAACCATTTGGAGAGGGAGAATGTAACCAAACTCTATCAATCTAGTAACTATGGATCTTCTTTAGAAAAACAACAAACGTAAGTTCATGCACATAAACCCACCATTTCACATATACCTTCTAAGAGTTTGGGACTCCAGGTTAAGAATCCCTGTGTTAAGGAAAAGACTAATTATTTTATAATGGTCAAAGAAGTGAAATTAATAGTATCCTATCTAGTGTAAAATTCATCATACAATAATGTATTGACAAACCTGAAAGTCTTAGAACTCCTCATTCTTTCCACCATTTTGTTAAATTTGCATACCATATTAAAATGGTACTTTTATGTACCACATAATTTCTTCCATGCTTTAGTATAAATCATGATATTAAAGACTTCTAAAATACATATTAAATAAAAATGTGAGGGTTTATAAGATCTAGAAATTTTTTAAAAAAAAACAGAAAACAATTTAAAGTAAGTTTTTAACATAAGCTATAATGCTGAATTTTAATTGCCCAGGAAGCATTTCCTGATTTCACAGCTATGTTGGAGGAAAATGGGGAGAGAGTAGGCAGGGAGGAGACAGTCTCGGACACTTATCAGGGACTATGGGCAAGTCTGGGAAAACTTTGGACAAATTTTCTGGACAAATTTCAAATGAAAAAGAACAGAGAAAGCTAAGGAAAGCAGCTCTGTTCAGCAGCACCCCTCACAACACAAAGAAGTGAGTGAAGACAGCCAGTCACCCTCTGTGGCCTTATAAGGAAACAGAGCCAATGGAAGGCTCACATGAAAGTTAGAGAAAGCTAAGATAGAAAGCATCATTACCAGGAGCCAGATTTCCAACCCCACAGCATACATAGAAAAGTCATAATTGAATTAAGGTATGTTTAAAAGCTGATGCTTAATAGGCATACAGTAATATACTGGTATTTTCTAAGACAGTAGCTTTCTTATAATGTTGCTATAAATTTACTTTTAAATGTAAGCTAGAAATTAATATTTATGCTGAACTCTTAAAAACACAAATTAGATGAGTAGAGAATTGGTCAATTCTATGACCTCAACCAATTAAAAAAAAACTAAAAATAAATTTTCACCTTACTCCACTATACCTCAGGATGAAGTCATTTATTTTGTTATATATAACAGGAAGTCACCATATTTAATATTGAAAAGTAACCCCCAAACTGCCAATGCTATATAACATTAGCAACATCTTCAAATAAGATGTTTTATTATTATTATGTTAAATGTTTAGATTTAACATAATAGTTTGATTTATTTTTGGTATTCACAATACTTTTTCTTTTTAAAAAACAAATTAAGGCATACTTTTTAAACTTTTTTTTTTTTAACTCTCAAGAGGTTTTTCTTTTTCTCCCCAGAGGCATTTATGGTGATTATTTTTTAAATTAGCTTTTATCCACTGCACAGAACTAAGTTCAGTTTATTTTTTATTATCATTTTTGAGACTATTTCAAGAAGCTTTGCATTATCAAAAACATCACTTTACATTATGCCTTTATAAAGTACTCAGTCCATTGTTCTTTGATTATCTAAGGTCATCTATTACAACTTCTATGGTCTCATTTTATAGGACACCCAACTTCTCTCCTCTACTGTAAGCTTTATTCTGGCCAGGTACTTTCATCACATGTCAGTTATTTAACAATGACATTTCCAAACAGACCTAGAACTACTGTTTGCTCAATAAAAATGTTACACTGCTATGGCTACTACTTACATACAATGTTTACCCCATGTTCAAGTTTCTAATAAGTCAACTACAAGTTGAAAATCTGTTTTTGAGGCATTTCCTGGTATACTAGGCAGTGCATGAGAAAAGAGATTATATTGCATTTAGGCCATAATAATTACCTTTTAACCATCTATGTAGAATTAACAACCATCCAAAAAGAAAAGTGCAAATGTGCAAATGAAGAACAAAACAGTTTGTATACATGTAATGCATAATATATGATATAAATCTAGGCAACTAAAAACAATGGCTGACAACATCTTTCTGAGCATTGTAGACACCACCAGATTTGCTTTATATGTATTCTTTCTTTTCAAAGACTCAAAGAATGCAATAAACATTATCTTAATGTTTCAAGATTTTCAGGAGTAGATTAGAATATTACCATTTTTTTTCACAAACCAAAAAACAAAGAACTACCATTACTTTTGTATTATTTCCAATAATAGAATAAGAACAGGTCTAGCTAATCTCCTCTGGGATCTTAATTAGTACTGTAAGTTTATTTGTATGAGTTAAAAATAGTATCACTCATGAGAAACAATGTCAAAATTATTATGCTATTAAATTATGTTAAAGGCCTAATGAAGAAATACTTTAGCAACTATGAGGTACACGCTAGTTGTAGGCATGAGGAACGTTTATATTGGCTCTTTTGGGTGTATACATTAAATGCAAAATCAGAAAGAAATCATGCAAAAATCCAGTTGCCCATGCAAGCACCCCAGAGTCTAATCCTCTCCTTTCAGTTCTGTTGTCAGGCCACAGTAGTGTGGAGACTTGTAGGCTGCTGTCCTTGTTGTAATGAATGGGAAGAGGCTGACAGTGGCATGGTCGAAACCTTCACCTCTTCTTCCCCTGTGGAAAAGTCAGTCATGGTCTAGTTACGGGTGACTAGATTTGTTAACAGTCCCTTTAAAAATGATTTCAATATTTGGAATATTGATACATATATAAAATACATGCTAATTGGTTGGAATCTGGGTGTGAAACAAGACATGAATTTTTAAATATTAACTTAAGTACCTAAAACAAACTACACACACCCTTATTTTAAGGTAAAATTAAATGTAATATTTGGATTACAAATGCACCACAAAAAGTAAATAAATAAAAAGAAAAGATTAAAGACCAGGAAAGCCATTCTTTTCCAAGCCAATTGGACCCTTATATAGATATTCCTTATCAGTAAGTACTAGTTTGAAAAAAAAAAAATTAAGCCTTGACTTACAGGAGAAAAAACTGATTTTAAAAGAAGAGAATTATAAATTCATGTTTCAAAGGCATGAGTCGTATATTAGGGAAAAAAGAAATAATAGATATAAACATTAATTGATAAAATTAACATATAGCATCTGAAATTTACTATGTACTTTTAAAGTAATTAGAAGATAGTAAAACATTAACAGTACAATGATCCAATTGACTGAAAAGTAAGATGACTACATCTAGTCAGAAAACTATACATGAATGAGACCAGTTCTCCTAATTGTAATTGGTAATTATTTCACTACAGGTAACTTACTTTATGCATGACACAAACTCAATAGTCACTGTGAAAATAGTTATTTTAAAAGAAATTTTAAAGAAAAATGCTTTCTGGTAAGTAGAATTTGAATTAACAAAAACATGAAAAATCCAAAGTCTAAACAATTTAAAAAAATTTTTGAGTAATACCGTGAAACAATACAGACTTACACTTACTAATGTTTACTTTTCCAAGTAAGTTTCAGTATTATATAATAAAACATTTTAGCAAAGAATTCTTTGAAAATAAATAAATAAATTCTTTGAAAAATAAATCTGCAAAATTACGCTTGGAAAGACAGCTTAACTGACAAACTGTAGAAAGAGTCTTTCAATCCATAAAACAGGTTATTTTAATTAGCAAACTCTTATATCCTCAAGTACATAACAGGAGGCTGTGCCAAAGCAAATTTAAAATCCATTTCTTGGTGAGAACATCAGTACTAATATGGACCTAAGCAAGAGACTGAGTCTCAAGTTAATAAGCGCCATTCTACTTTCTTTGTATTTGTTTTTTGGGGAACATACTCCTAACATGGGCCAACTTGTTTCATGAGGAAATACCATGGGTTTAAAAAAAAATGAAAAGGATCTGCGAGTATGTGAGAGCAAAGTCAATTACGGGAGAAAGCCAGGTGCAGCACACGCCAGTGGTCTTCAATTGGGAAGGAGAGCACCAGTGTTGCATCACAGAGCCACTTCCATTACTGATTTTGAGATCTGGGCCGTGACCCTAGCTTGATACTAACTGAACATGCAACCTTAACTTATTTAAGTTTGTTGGAGTACAGTCTTGACAATCATAAAATGAAGGAACTGGACAAAGAGAGTCACTTTTTAGAACAAACATACAGTTTCAATAATAAAAAATATCTAAATGAATCCCTTCTCCTTATTTACTAATCAAAACTGCTCAACAGGAAAATTTCAATTATCTTCTGGACTTAGCAAACCAGATTCACATGCCCAGAAAACACTGCTAAAAACACTTAAGTACTGAAAGAAATAGCCAATTTAAAGCACAAAAATATTTTCAGTGAAACAAAGGAATGGAAACTGAATTTCTGTCACACCTCTGGCAACTGTACTGCCCATGATAGGTTTCAGATATATCAGTGTTTTTATAATTAACTGAAACAAACAAAAATAAAAATTTAAATACAAACATATATATAGTAAACAGATAAGGCTTTTGCATGACATGGTGGCTGTCAACTCTGATTTGTTTCTACAGGTCAGGACCCTACTTTTCTCCTCATAGTTGGAGAACGAGTATATGTGTGTACCTTTCCTTCCTACAACTGAATTAGTTTGAAGACTATTTTAGGAGGCCCCACAAACAGTGGGTAGTCCCCACTAGAGAAGCACTAACAAACAGCTGGGCTGAAAAGGCCACCAGGATAAAGACTAGAGGATGCAAAGTTGAGTTCCTGGCAATCATCCAATTCAAACACTTCTGAAAAGTGAGAAGCAGGTAATTCCTAGGTAAACTGTTTCAAATTAGATGCATTTCAGATGTTTTCTTTTGTTATTTATCATGTTACTGAAAGTCCTAAATCATCTAGTTAACAATTCTATAACTATTCTAAGGCATCCTGAGACATCTGTCAAATATTGATTAGCTCTAACAGGATTCTAGTATGACTCTTAACAATTTTAATTATTTTTTTTATAAATTAAAACTGTTTCTCTAATCTTCAGTACTTTAAAAATAATCTAATAACAAGTTTAGTTATGTCACCATTTAAATACCAAACAAGAATGCATAGCCAAGTATTAAAACTCTGGAATAACTCTCCCTACCCCACAGTGAATACAATAATAATGAGTCAGAATTAAAGTTGGTGACTTCATTTTTAGCATCTCTGAAAAAAGTTTTCAGTGTTCTGTGGTTGAGTTTAGGCAAAGGTAAGGAAAAAAAAAAAACAAATGATAGGATTATAATTTAATGTTACATTTAAAAATTTAAAAAATAAAGTTATGTATTTTAGGTAAAGATTCAAAAAAAAACTAAAACAAAAAGGCCTGCACTTAACAAATTAGAGATATCTCATTGCTGATATTCCAAAATATCTACTTGTTTGAAACATTTGGAAGTGTTCCTGGGTCCTAATGAACACTAACAACTCAGAAGTAAGAAGAACAGATAGCATGTAGTAAGTCAAACAAGGGTACCAAGTCTGTACAGCTAAAAACAAAAGTCCAATATCATGTACACTGATTCTCTAACAGAGTTCCTCATCTTGTCTATCTGATCCCTGCAATTTAAAAAACACCTCTTGTTACAGAAGGCAGTTCTGCTTACTCTAGTGGCACACAATATCTGTCTCTATGCCTTTTATTTAGGAGGTTTCCATCAACATAAAAGACCTTTCTCTTTTGCTGCTTACCCAAATTGAAGATACCATATTACAGATCAATTTCTCTTCTTCAAAAAATTCTCCAACAATGACGAGCTACACTGTTTCTCAGACTTCAGGACCACACTTGCATGTTAAGTCACCTTCCCACCTTTAACTCAAGTACATTATCAACTACTTGAGATAGCATCTGTTTTCTCTACTTTTGTATTTTCTACATAACCTAGTTGCACTGCTGGGCAAAAAGGACCCGAAATGTTAATCATAATTGGCTCAATATTTTTAAATGTTTGGCATACTTAAGAGGACCTTAACTTTTAACGTTAAGATCAGCTAAAAGGCACATTACTAGAAATTAAAATGTCTTCTTTCTAAATTACTGAAACAAAGTAAACCCCCCAAAAAATTACATTCTAGCATGCTATGTTGAATGGAAGAACAGGAAAAGGCATGTAGAAATTAAGAGTTAGTGGATATCACAAGGAAAGGACTGAAAAATGCTACTCTGGATTCCCTACAACCTAGTCTAATTCAATGAACAAATACTATGAACCCCATCAAATGTACAAATCACTACAGCAGGTGCTCTCCAATATGTTTAAATTAAGTTCACTGTTTCAACTGTTAAACCTTACTATATCCCAAACAACAAAGACCTAGCTACTTGTTTAAAACATGAAATGCTGCTGGCTCTAAGGGAATGACTATTGATGGTTCTAAGTGCACTGTCAACTTTCTGGAAACAAGAGCATGAGTGCCTTACTGGTGAAAGTATACTACTGTAATGACATTATGCCATGACATACCTTAAAGGTCATGGCAAGGGACAAAAACAATTGTCTAAGTACACAACAGGGTGAGAAGTATTCTGTACTACTTGAAGAGAACCAGCGGGGAACAAACTTTACCACATCATCTCTAAGGCCCAATGAAAACAGTTACTCAGAATGACTCCTTTCCAAGATACTTCATTTAAAACTGTTATATAGGATCTTAAAGCCCCAAAATTCTGAAACCTTCAAGGGTAGCAATATAAAACCAGAAGTCCCCTGGCATCAAACTTGTATTACCTTATTCATCCAAATTTTTTGTTCTCAAAAATAAAAACACAGTCAACTAATAAAATCTCTCCTAAACAATTTTCCACAAAAGTATGTCTGTGACATAATATGGTTATAAAGTATTGATAACTGAAGTTCTCAAATATTGTTAAATGCACACATGGCACAGTGATGTGTGCATGTATGTATCAGTCAAAACAAGCAATTGATACAGCAGTTAGAGTGGCTTTATCCCTCATGCTCTCATTAATTTTGATTAAAAAAAATTTAACCACTTTACTTTTAGAATATAACACAAGATATTTTTACTATGGTGTAATTTCAGAGCCCAATTTTTCTTTTTCATTTTTGTGTTTACATATCATCTGAAGGTCTGGAAAATTATCCTATTAAATACAATGCTTCCAAACAATAAGTAGGTATAATACTCCACCATCCTTATAAAGCTCCATATTACAAGGCATTCACTCAATCCAAAAAAAAAAAAAAAAAGGTTAAAGATGTAATGTTTTTCATAGAAATTTCTACGACTATTGTATACTCTTGTTACCCAGCAACCCTAACCACCCAGCAACCTGAAGATATTAATAACACACATATTCTCAGAGGCTTTAAATGAACCTACCTGCTATGGGGATCCCTCCCAGACCTGTGTTGTGCTGTGGCGGGAGATTCAAGTCCAAGAAATTACTATTTGAGGTGGGGTTTGCTGTGTGGTTCAAGTGCATGATGCTATTGCGTGGAAAGGCCATCCAAGGATAGCGGGCTCCCTGGCCTGGAAAACCAAACGAATTATAAACTGCTCGGTGCTGCTGAAATTGAGGGAACCTCTGTGGCAAGACTGAAAAGGTACTATTAAGAGAGTTGGCATTTGTAGGTGCAGCAGAATGCAGGAATCCAGAGCCTGGACCTTTGGCGGTTGTAGTGTGTGAGGAGGAGTTCTGAAGAGATGTGGGAGACAGGGAAGGTTGATCTTGGACAGACAGTTCCTTCTCAATTAGGTCTGCTAAGGCTTTTCGAGTGACATCAAAGGGATCAAACCCCAAGTCATCTTCTGGCTGTTTAGAAGAACCAAAGCCAAACGCTGCTTGCCAGTCTGTAGATGATGATACTGGGATTGTTTCTGTTGAGAATAAAAATAGTGATGAACATAAAAAGTCTATCTTCACAGTGTACATTAAACATCCTACATTACAGTCTACCAGTATAAGTCAAACATGCTACACTACAATAGAAATCATAGGTAAGATCACTAATTTCAGAGTATCTCATAAAATTATAGCAGTGATTCACTGTTAAATTATGAAATTAAAAAGCTGAATGATCTAGACTGATAGTGCTGATCAGAAGGAAAAACGCCTCGCTACACAGATTGCATCCCATCATTCATAGTTAAAACCAGCCAGCATGTTATTAAAAGTACTATCATCTAAAAGCTTCTAACTAGTAAGACTTATATTATATACTAAGATAAATTAAAATTCTAATTATATATTTTTAATTGTATACATCACAGGTGCTATTGTGGCTATTAATTTATGCCATCTTTCAGCCTAATAAAAAAATTTAAATGAGTAAAAAGAGAAATGTTGTGCTCTCTGCTTTCTAATCCCAAATGCTCTGCTTAGCCGTTCACCACACACTAAGACTGCCTGATTCTTCAGTCTAGTTTCATCTGAATGTGATGTAGTAAAAGACATCAAAGTTTCTGCAGGTGAACATAATTTCAAAAGGATAAATGCATAACTCTCATACAAATATAAACCATGTCAAAAAAATTTAAAATAAAATAGCAGAAAGGGGCAAAATTTAGTTTTTACTACTAAATAAATTACTTGTGAATTAGACAATTGGGTGAAAATCCTAAATTGTATTACATAAGCATAAATCTGACTTTAAAAGTTGAGTCCTAAGTTACAACCAAAGCAATAATTTTTTTAGCTTCTATTCCACCCCCCTCCTCCTTTCGATTTTGAGACAGGGTTTCTCTGTGTAGCCCTGGCTGTCCTGGAACTCAAGAGATCCAGCCTGCCTCTCTGCAAGGATTAAAAGTGTGTGCCACCATGCTCAGCCACACAGTGAGTTTTTAATTTGAGAAAATAACGTAACAAATGACTTCTAGATAAATCTGTTCTACAACACTGTAATTTCTAGGCAACACAATATCTAATACCATGTTGTGTGGGAGCTCCTTTATTTGCTAATTACTTTAGACTGGACATTTAGCCTATGTTCCTTGCTTGATGTTTTTCATGCTGGTTGTAGTTCTAGTTTTTATGCATGTTTTTTGCTTCATCTTTTCCCTGGACAATACTTGATATTTGTTCTTACTGTATATGGTTTTGTATTAGGCTTAGAACCCTTTATTTAGATAAAAGGGGGATGTACTATGGGAACTCGATCAGTCAATAGCCTTTTTGATACTGGCCCATTTGGGTGTGGTCTGAGGAACTATAAGAGCAAATGAAAAAGCATATGTGGTCCTAGAGCCCACAGAGGACCATGGATCTCTACCCTTATGGTGAGTTTTCCCAAAAAAATAAACCTTTGTTATACTCCACTTCAGGCTATTGTGGACCTCTTAATATGCCTACACCATGTAGTTTAAATAATTTACATTTTTTAAAAAAGAAAGTTGATAGAAAACAAAACAGAAGTATAACAACCAAAATGTATCCCAACGATTTGTCAATTTCTATGAGTCTGATTACTAATTACATACCTGACGTGAAGAGGCTCTGTGGTTCTGGAGCTGTAGGCCAATCACTGGGTGTCTGTGGAGAGCTGGGAAAAGGAGGAAGCCCACTAGGTATAGGGTTGGGGTGGCGAAAATTGTCTGAGAATAACGACTGTGACTCTGTTACTGCCCCTTCAAAAGGAGACCGTGCACTGTGATTGGATGAACTGATGGGGATGACAGGATTGGATTTGGATAAACCAGGTGGCGGTGAAGGCGTATCACTGTTAGATATCTAAAAGAAAGAGGAAGAAGTCAAGGTAAGTTTGTATCTTAATAAACCACAATTTTAAACATCTGCAATAAATGGTTTCTAACAGTGGTCTTCAAGCCAGAGCACCTGACTTTTGAATCAAAGTGTGGAATTTGAGAAAAGCAAGCAATTCATTAATTTATACATGTACTATAAAAAAAGAGTTCCTGAAAAGACTAAGCCAGTCTCATCTTCTTTTACATTTTTCTTCTTGTACTTTCCAACTCCCCAAAACCCCTTCCAAATGAGTGATGTCTAGGATTTCATTATATTGCTCAAGAGCAGTTGCTCAAGAGTAAAAACCTTTAGAGAGTAACGATAAATGATCAGGAATGCTCAGACTGGTAATAAGAGAACGACTGGCTCCAACGACAATAAGCAAAATCGTCCTTTTGCAAATTAGATGATTTTAAGTATTTTAGGTTTTTTAGAAAGATTTTATTTATTATTTATACAGTGTCTGGCTGCACGTATGGCCTTCATGCCAAAAGAAGCCACCAGATCCCTTCATAGATGGCTGTGAGCCACCATGTGGTTGCTGAGAACTGAACTTATGACCTCTGGAAGAACAACCCTTGTTCTTAACCTCTGAGCCATCTCTCCAGCCCCGGTATTAGTTTTTAGCCAATATAAAGGGAGATCTAACCAAGCTTTTCTCAAATAATCATTAAAAAATAATTCTGGAGTTAGGAGTGTAGCCATGGATAGGACCCTGTACTCAAACCTCAGCATCAAAAGCAAAAAGCAAAAATAACAACAACCAACTAATTAAACAAACAAAAAGGAAAAAAGAAAACTCCACGCTTATTCCAAGATGAAATTCTAATTGACTCTGAGGTATTTAATTCCATGGTCTGAGGAACAGTAACATACCTCTCATTTTCTACCTGTGCACTATTTATACAGACTGTCTTGGGAAAATTAAAAGGATAACTAAGATTATTCAAGTTTTTTTTTATATTACCAATGTTCATACATGAAAAAGTATTCTGAGATGACTCCAATATATTCTGTTTGATCAACTCAATACTAATAGAAAATCAACAGGGGAAAAAGACTTTTAAATACTTCTTACAAAGTTGGGATTGTATAATTGTGCCCTTACTTAGTACAGGTTAAGGCCTTACTGCCAGCACCACAAGAAAACAAACAAGAAAATTCCTGTTATAGACAAACATTTTAGTTCAAATATAAGTTTATTTGTGGGGGGTTGCTGTGTGTATGATGAAGGTGTTGTGTTTTTTTCTTTTGGTTTGTTTGTATGTATTTATATGATTATGTGTGCATGTGTGTAAATTCATACAAAAGCCAAAAATCTGTACTGGGTATCTTCCTATACGTGTTCTACTTGAGTTTTTGAGACAAGGTGTCTTAATGAACTTGAAGATCATCTAGGCAGTTGTGCTGAATCCTCCAGTCCCTGTCCTTCCAATGCTGGGTTTACAGATATATACTACAGTGCTCAGTTCTTATGTGAGTACCTAGGGTAGATTCAGGCCTTACGAGCCTTACTTACTATGAGAAGTATAATGCATTAAGATACAAATGTGTGAGGGCAATAGAAAAAGGTATATTATATTCCAAGAAGAAAAGAGAATGATGCAAAATTTCTAACTGTTAAAAGTATTTTCTAAAACAGAATTTTCTAAATCTAGTATCAAAACAAGAAGTGAACAAAATATGATGATGAGTACAAAATCTTATGATTCTTAGATATATCTGAAAAATAATATAGTATTTTGGTTGAGAAAACTGTTAGGCATGTTATATATGTATGTAAGTCCAGCCCTTGGGAGGTTTAGGTAAAGAGCATCAGAAACTCAAGGCCAGTGTCAGCCTTATTTACAAAACCAGCTTGTAAGAGGACCCTGTCTTCAAATAAAAAAGAGAAAGAAAATGTCAAAACTGATTATATGCTAAAGATTAGATCTTGTAACTACTTTTAATTTCCCTTGTAACAGAAAAATTTTAAGGTTTATTTTATGTGTATGAATATGTATCTTGCCTGTGTGTATGTATATGTACCACATGTGTGCATGGTATCCACAGAGGTCAAAAGAGGATATTGGATCCCCAGGAACTAGAGGTAGGATGGTCATGAGCCACCATATTGGTACTAGGAATCAAAAAACCTGGGTCCTCTGCAAAAGCATCCAGACCCAATTACTTTTAGCTCATTTAAAAAAAAATTATGTATGCCGGCGGTGGTGGTACATACTTTTAATCCCAGCACTTGGGAGGCAGGTGGATCTCTGTGAGTTCAAGGCCAGCCTGGTCTACAGAGTGAGTTCCAGAACAGCCAGAGCTGACACACCTGTCTCAAACCCCCCACCTTCAAAAAAAAAAAAGTCAACTCAAAATATACAAAGGCTATTTTAAATAATTTGTAACTAAAAACTTTAAAAAAATACTGCATTTTAGTTTTATCAGTTTTTTTTAACCTACATTGTGGGAAAATGGCCATTCTTTACACAAGAGATTAAAAATACAGTAATTTTACCAATATACAAATATGTATGGAGAGCCAGAAAAATGACTCAGTAAAAGTACTTGTTCCACAAACATGAGAACCTGAATCTTCAGTGCTCACATAAAAAAGCCAGGTGTGGAGGCATGATGTGGGAGTAATTTCTTATTAATAAAGAAACTGCCTAGACCCATTTGATAGGCCAACCCTTAGGTAGGCAGAGTAAACAGAACGGAATGCTGGGAGAAAGAAGCTGAGTCAGGGAGTCGCCATGATTCTCCCACTCCAGAGAGACGCAGGTTAAGATCATTCCTGGTAAGCCAGCTCGTGGGCTACACAGATTAATAGAAATGGGTTAGATCAATATGTAAAAGCTAGCCAATAAGAAACTGAAACTAATGGGTCAGGCAGTGTTTAAAAGAATACAGTTTCCGTGTAATTATTTCAGGTAAAGCTAGCCGGGTGGCGGGACACAGCCCGCCGCTCCGTATTTCAACAGAGGCACATGTCTATAACCCAGTGCTGGGAAGGCTAAGACATGTTGAACCCCAAGAGCACAGTTGGCTAGTTAGGCTAGCCATGGTTAAGCTCCAGGTTCAGTGAAAGACCCCACTATGAAAAACAAATCAAAAAATTAAGGTCAATGGAGCCAGAAAGATGCACTAGTAGATAAATATGCCTGCCATCCTGAGTTTAATCCCCAGGATTCACATGGCAGCAGGAGACACCTGACTCCCACAAGTTGTCACCCCAACTCCACTCAAGAGCTGTGAGTTGTGAACATACCCCCACATACTGTGTGTGTGTGTGTGTGTGTGTGTGTGTGTGTGTGTGCAAGCCAATGAGCTGTCCAACACTGTCTATTAAAATGAGTGAAGGCCTGGCTAGAGAGCAAACTTGGTGTTTTCTTATTATTAAGCTCTGTGGGGGGCTATTTGCCAAGGCTCAAAGGAATAAAAACTGGACTAAACCGGCTATCCGAGAATGCAGTATATCACTTCCCCAAATTGAGTCAAGGGAGCTGCTAGCAACAGCTGCTGTGCCTGTGAGACAAGAGGACCTGAACCAGCCTCCAGCTGCCACTAGAGACCCTGATGTCATTGCTGCTGCTTCCCCTCCCTGAGGTGGGTGGAGGGTATGTAAGGCTTTCCCTTCCTAAAATAAACTGAGCTTGCTACACCCAGCTTGTCTTCTGGGAGTCTGGGCTGTTGACACCCCCCACACACACACACACACCATGCCTACTTAACTCCTATCCCCAAGGAGAAGTTCAGTAGGACAAAGCAGCAGATCAAAGCAACAAAGCTAAGCAAAGTTTTATATTTTGTTCAAGTTTCTGTATATCGATGTGTGTGTGTGTGTGTGTGTGGTTGTTGTTATGGGAATATATAGTGAGCAAAAACCACACTTGCTAGCAAAGAAGAAAGGAACACTAACAGGGGAACAATTCCAAAGTAAAAATTCAGAAGGCAAGCTAGCTGAAAACGTTTGCACAGGATCAAAACAACCAGGAACTGAAGTCGATTTGAAGGATGCTGGTGCACTGTGATACTCTACAATTGTATGTGGTTATCAAAGTAATTTTGATTATTAAAAAGGTACTAACTTAATAAAACCAAAAATTGTACAATGGAGAAAAAAAAGCATTTTCAAAAATAGTGCTGGCATAACTGGATGTTGGCATGTAGAACGGAAATAGGTCCACTATCACCCTACGCAAAACTCCAGTCCATCAAAGACCTCAACACAAATCAGTTACACTGAACCTGACAAAGGAGAAAGTGGGGAACAGCCTTGAATGCACTGTTACTGTTACAGAAGACAACTTCCTGAGTAGAACACCAGTAACACAGACTCTAAAATTGACAACAAATGGGACCTCATGAAACTGATAAACTTCTGTAAGGCAAAGGGCATCATCAATAGAACAAAACTGCAGCCTACAGAATGGGAAACAATCTTTACCAATCCCACATCTGACAGAGTGATGATCTCCAAACCATATAAAGAACTCAAGAAATCAGACATCAAAAGCCAAATAACCCAATTTCAAAATGGAGTGCAGACCTAAACAGAATTCTCATCAGGCAGAGAAACACTTAAAGAAATGTCGTTCATCATCCTTAACCACCAGGGAAATGTAAATCAAAATGACTATGAGATTCCATCTTATACCTGTCAGAATGGCTAATATCAAAAACACCAATGACAGCTTATGCTGGCGAAGATGCAGAGTAAGGGGAACACCCCTCCATTGCTGGTGGCAGTGTAAACTTGTACAGCCACTCTGGAAATCATTACGGCAGTTTCTCAGAAAATTGGGACCCAGCAATACCATTCTTGGGCATATACCCAAAGGATGTTCCATCATACCACAAGGAAACTTGCTCAGCTATATTCATAGCAGCTTTATTTGCAATAGCCAAAACCTGAAAACAACCTAAATGCCCCTCAATCAAAGAACGGATTAAATGTGGGATGTTTAATCAATGGAGTATTCTCAGCTGTTAAAAACAATGACATCAGAAAATATGAAGGCAAATGAATGGAAGAAGAAAAAATCATCCTGAGTGAGGTAACGCAGACCCAGAAAGACATGGTATGTACTCACTCATAAGTGAATAGTAGCTGTAAAGTAAAAGATAACCATGCTATAATCCACAGACCCAGAGAGGCTAGATAACAAGGTGAGATGGATACATGGATCTCCCTGAGAAAGGGAAATAAAAGAGATCTTCTGGATGGACTGGAGACTGCTGGGGATGGGAACTTGAGGGGTCAGGTTGCGGGGGGGGGGGGGGTACTTAAAGAGTTGACAGGAAAGAGGGCGCTTTTCGGGGACAGGCAGAAACCTCATGCAAGAGAATCTTTCAAAAATCTGAAAGGAAAACCCCAGCTACAACTTCTAGCAATAGTAGGTATGTAGCCTGAACTGGCCATCTCCTGTGATCAGACCCCAATTGTCATTAGAGAACCTTCATTCAGTAGCGGATGGAAACAAATACAGAGAGCCACAGCCAAACATAAGGCCGAGCTCTGGGAACCCTGCTAAAGAGAGGGAAGGATTGTAGGAGCCAGAGGGGTAAAGCACATCAGATGAAAACTCACAGAACAACAAACCTGGCCCAAAGGAGCTCACAAAGTCTGTACCAACAACTAGGAAACCTACATGGGACTGACCTAGGCACTCTACATATATGTGGGAGTTGTGTAACTTATTCTGTTTGTGGGACTCCTAACAATAGGAACAGGGGCTGACCCTAATGCTTTGGTTGGCTCATGGGAACCTATTCCTCATTCTGAGTTGCCTTGTCCAGTCTAAATACAAGGGGAGATGCTTAGTCTTACGACAATTTGATATGCCAAGCTCTGCTGATACCCATAGGAGGCCTTCCCCTTTCTGAACAGAAACAGAGGAGTGGACTGGGGGATAGGGTGGGAGGGTAGGCGGAGGTAATGGGAGAAGAGGAAGGAGGGAAAATTGTGTGGGGATGTAAAATAAAAAAAAATGCAGAGGTAGGCGGATCTCTGTGAGTTCGAGACCAGCCTGGTCTATAGAGCTAGTTCCAGGACAGGCTCCAAAGCCACAGAGAAACCCTATCTCAAAAAAAAAAAAAAAAAAAAAAAAGAATGGAGAGAGAGAGAGCCCTTAAAGAAACAATCATTGTCATTAGCCATAGCCATTAGGGAAATACGAATCAAAACTATTCTGAGATTCCCTCTTACACTTACCTGTCAGAATGGCTATGATCAATGACACAAGTGACAACTAGCTAGAGACGATGTGAAGCAAAAAAAGAAGAGACGAAATGCTCTATACATTCTATGAAGAAAAGATGCTATTATACATTTAACAAGGCAGTCCATCAACGTATTTTTGAATTGTGTCAGTATTTAAAGTATTTTTCCAATTTGAAAAAAAAAATTGCTTGCATACAACGCTTTGCTTTTAGGTTATAGCAGATATATGAAAGAAATTTTTATCTAAATCTTACCTGTTGGGAATTATCACCATTCCCTATACTGAGAGAATCTGAAGGTTTGTCAATGGGGCTGTAAAAAAAAAAAAAAAACTGAGTAAAAGGAGAGTAAATCATTCAAACAAAAATACACTCACACACACACACATGCACACAAGCACATGTGTGCACGTTCACACATGTACACACAAACAAAATCGACAAAAAACTCCCCCAAAGTTAAGAATAAACACCGTGTCATCTTAACAATGTTTTTAAAACACTACAATGTGAGACCTTATGTAAGATAGTAAGGGTTCAGAACACATAAGGGAAAGTCTCAACCTTCTCTTCCCCCAGAGAAACTCACGTTCTAATTAGTCCTCAAAACTTAAAGCTGAAATAAACGGCTGATGGGAGAGGTAGAAAATGACAAAAACAAACAGTGATTAACTTATTTTTCTGCATGTTTGACAGAGGACAAAAAGTATGGAAATGTTCTCTGCAGGCACTTAGAAACCATAAATTTCCTTTAATACTTCTATCACTATAAATCTTATCTAAGGAGGAGAAGGCAAGATAAATGACACATACTTGGTGTGGGACAACTCTGTATACTGTCGATTATGTTTTAAATATACGCTGATTGGCTAGTAGCCAGGAGGAAGTATAGGCTTTTACTTTTTTATTTTAAGGACTTTAACCTTTTTCTTTTCTCAAAAAGCTAAAAAATGGAAAAAATCTAGCCGTCAAAGCCACAACTTTAATCCTCTCCATATTGCTATTGCTTAGAAAATTAAGACTCATGTGGTCAGAAAAAGAAAGATATACAATAAAAGATTCAAAGAAAAAAAAACCTAAATGTTTTACAGTGTGTTAAAAATATATGCAGGCTAAAGGTTAAAGTCAGAGAGAGAGAGAGAGAGAGAGAGAGAGAGAGGGAGGGGTTGGGTGTGACACGCCTTTAATCCCAAAGTTTGGGAGGCAGAGGCAGACAGACAGACCTCTGTGAATTCAAGGTGTGGTAGTTCACACCTTTAATCCCAGCACTTGGGAGGCAGAGGTACGTGGATCTCTGTGAGTTCAAAGACAGCCTGGTCTACAGAGGGAGTTCCAGGACAGCCAAAGATATACAGAGAACCTGTCTCAAAAAGTAAAAATAAAAATAAAATTAAAAAAAAAAACAGAGGTTAAAGTAAAGCCTCATAAAGATGGAAAATACACAGAGAATCTTGATACTGTATGTTATACTCTCTTTGAATTGTTTAAATACTGAAGAAAGAGCAACAGCTGCTAAAAGATACTTGTTTATAAATGCTGCTAAATTAATCCAAGATAGGTATTTTGAAAATAACTTGACTTCAAAATTGAAGTCAAAAGGTATGTTACTTTGGAGAAGAGATTTTGCTTTTGTTTCCACAGAAAATGAGAGGCTGTGGATTCATTCTGAGTTAAAAAAAAAAATCAGGTTTGATCAAGGGAAGACCACCTGAAAACTCTCCCATAGGAACAGATGGCCCAGATGTCTGAGTTCTATATCCAGAACAGATTCTCTGCCTGAGATGATCAAGCCTCACAGGATATTCCACTCAGGACTTGACCATAATTCAAAAATTTCTTTAGGTTCCCCATAAGATTATCCGTGCCCCGAACCAGCAGAAAGTAGCCTGGAATACTACGCCCACATTTCCAAAAAAATGGACTATGGATATTTTCCTTTCTTAAAAAAAGGAGGGGAGGGGGAAATGGTGTGGGGCAATTCTGTATTCTGTCAATTATGTTTTAAATAAACGCTGATTGGCAGGTAGCCAGGCTATTACCCAACCTGAATCCCAAGCATATCTTCTACAGAGATGCTGCGAAGCACATCAGATAATCTGACAGACTGCACAGTTTTAAACTATGAAACTGTTTAAGTGATTTATACACTAAGAAGAGAAATGGAAAAGGAGCATTAAAGGTGGAAACAACCTATGTCAAATGACTTCATATAATAGAAAATTATTAGTTCCAACAAAAAGATGGTATGAATTAACAAAAATAATGACATAAAAAAAGAGACATAGCCAGAAGACAGAGAGTAATGGGAATAAGCAATACTTAACAACAACTTTTTTTTACATTTGTTTGTGTGTGCGCACAAGTATATGTGCAAGCAGAACATGAAGGACAAAGGACAAACTGCTGGAGTCAGTTCTCTCTTTCTACCATATGTATTCATATGTACAAACACATACACACAAATAAATACTATGTCCAGAAAAATATGTATAAACCCTATAGATAAAATTTATAAAGATTTTTCATAAAAAAGCCTTGCTAACATTTTTAGCAAATACCATTCCAAGAGAAACTATTTTTAAATTAACCGGAACTCTTTGAAAGCTAAATATATATTTAAATTTACTTATATAAATTTTATATTTATTTATATAAATGTTTATTTGAATAAATTTATTTATTCAATCAAATAAAATAGACAATATAAAGCTTAACGTCATTATCTCTAGAGATTCTGGCTCAGTCTAAGCTCAAACACCTTGCATGTTAGTCAGCTTTCTATCAATTTTATCACAATCAGGATTAGCTGGGGAACCTCAACTGCCAGCACGAAGGTTACAGGTGCTTGAGACTTCAACTCTGGTCTTTATGCTTTTGCAGCAAGTACCTTACCTGCTGAGCCATTTGCCCAGGCTCTCACATCCTACCTCAACTATCCCTATCCTGACTCATTCAGTGAGAAAGAATACACAATAGTCCATTTTTAATATAAAAGTGCTTCAAGTGACCTTGGAGTTTAGATAAGCAGGGAGTCCCCTGTCCAAATAGCTAGTGCCTATTTGTCTAGGCCTTTTTAGCTATCTTTCATTCATGCTTAAAGTTTTGTTGGAGGAGATCTGTTTGTGTTGATTGCTCAGAAATCACAATAAACTTTCATCTCAGGATGGAAAAGTACAGGCCATAGTATACTATATGACTAGGTATATGCATTGAGGGGAATGGGTAACAAAAAGTAGACAACATGAAGATTGTACCTCCTGCAGTACTCAGCAAATGGTGAAGAGCGGGAAAGAACCCTCATTAGGGATATAAGAATGACTGTTTTGCACTTAATCAGCCTGCCTGTCACTTTGTCTGAGTTGGTGCCCTATCTAGCAAGGTCATAAAGTACCTCACTATTGCCACTGAGTCTTGAGTACTAGTTACTATGAAATGGGAGACACATTATCCCCATCTAACTTTCTAAACAAATCCTTTAGATCAGTGGCTCTAATAACTTCTTAAACTACAGTCAACTTAAGTAGGGTAAGCATCCCCCAGGTGACTTAACAGCTACCCACTATGTATGCACATGTGCAGTAACTACATATAAATCAGAATCAGACAGGGACTGAAAAGAAATAAAGACAGAATTCGTAGCAGAAAACCAAACCAATTTTAATTTAAGAAATTAACCAATTTTAATGAAGTATTCTAGTTTAGCAGACTTTTACCCATTTAATTACTAATAAACAGCTCTGGGCTTACGCAAAAATAAAACTGGAGATTTAAACCATTTGTCTACAATAAAGGAAAGTCTTTCTAGAGATCCACAAAATGAAAGTCACTTTTGTGGCTCCTGTCCATACTTCGAGAATCACTGTTCTCTACTATTCAGAAATTCACCTCTAGCCTTCTCTAGCTAGCAGCATAGCAATGCCTCCATATAGAAATGGGTACGTAGAATTTTGCAGAAAATTTCAGAGTTCATAAATATTTTAATACCTACCAACCTATTAATGATTTGCCAAGTTCTCCTAGAGAGTATCTTGTACATTTTTGACAAACTATATTACACTACAGCATCTCCTTCCCCATGCCCCCAAGACAGGGTTTCGCTGTGTAGCCCTGGCTGTCCTGAAACTCACTCTATAGACCAGGCTGGCCTCGAACTCAGAGATTCTCCTGCCTTTGCTTTTCACGCTGGGATTAAAGGCGGGAACCACCATCGCCTGATACTTGTTATGATTTTTAATTCCAAGGAATCTAGAGAAGAGGATTAATGCACTAATTCTTCACAATCTACTCAATTACTAAGGCATTTAGATGGCACCTGTCTGTCAGAGCACATTTAATTTTCAGTAAGAATATTAGCCAAGTTCTTTCAAAGGGGAGTAAGAGATGATAGTCAGCTGTAAACTGTTTGCATAGCACACACAAAAAGATGACAATAACAACGATGATGATGGAGATGGGGATGACAACAATGCACACTTCTTCATGAAGTAAAAACTGATAAATTCTTATAAGTCTTCCTTTTAATACCTTCACTAGACAGTATACTAGTGCCCTCTATCTGTGGTTAAAGGAAGTTTAAAACACTATCAATTCTTTGAAAGAAAACTCTGGTAGACCAGAGATGTTCAGTCAAAATGGTTTCACTTAAAACTAATATAATTGATATTAAATTATTTTCTAGCAATTTCTCCTTTAAAATGTTGGCATAGTTTTAAATGATGGCAAAGTAAGATAAGTCTAGTCTTTAAAGTGAAAGAGATTTTGGTCAGAATCTGGTCTCTATAGCACATTTGTATGGAATACTTGTTAACACTTAGCTCTTTTAGTTTTCTTATCTGAAGTAATAATGACAATATCTGCCACACGGAACTATTAAGATTAAATTAGCACATCAAATTTTCATTTACATCTTCCTTTCACTTCAGTCTGAACTTAACATCTTCATTTTCGCACATGGACTTCATGAGCCACATCAAGTCATGACCACCTATACTGTGCAATGTGATTCTTACCACTAGGTCTACTCAGTGTCCATAGCACAGTAGCCCAACCAGGTACTATTCTTTTTATAATCTTCACTTGTTGCACCATATCTCAATCTACATTTTATAGCACAAAGCTATAAAATACCCATCCTTTATGCATTACAGTTGATGGCTTCCTTGTTTTCTGCTTTTATTTCAGTATGTGTTATTTCATGCAGAAAAACTATTTTTAATAAGACCAATGATGTATATAAATGCTGAGTATATCAGAAATGTTTACTACAATAATGGTAGGTAATGAGCAATAGCACTTGGTTTGTCATCTAGAAAGGGTAGTACAAACAATCAAAGTAGAGGATCAATTTGTTCAAATCAAAAGATATGGCTGAATTTAGGTTTTCTTTCTAACTTTAACATTATTTAATATACAGTGATTATGTTTTGTGCTGACATCTATTTATACATCTATATGCATATGGACATCCACTATATGTAAGTGTATAAGAAATGAACACATTTAAATAATCTTTAATATTTAAATAATCTTCAGCATCAAAGGGAATAGACAGCAGCTTAAAAATTTTAAACACAATAATATGTTTGAAGAAAGACTCTGAGAACAATCTGTATAAATTTTACTGCTACATTTGAAAGCTGGTTATTTTACTAGACAAGGACTACTATTTAAAACTAGACATTAACACACATCACTTAGAGACGATTCAGATAGCAAACAGTGAAATCCCAAAGTTATTAGTTAACTGTATAATATTTGACAACTTACAGCAAAGAACAGTTTAAGACATAAAGATAACTAAATCATCATGAGACTTTGTATTAAATTTTTTTTCCGTTTATTTATTAAAGATTTCTGTCTCTTCCCTGCCACTTCCTCCCATTTCCCTCCCCCTCCCCCAATCAAGTTCCCCTCCCTCGTCAGCCCATAGAGCTATCAGGGTTCCCTGCCCAGTGGGAAGTCCAAGGACCACCCACCTCCATCCAGGTCTAGTAAGGTGAGCATCCAAACTGCCTAGGCTCCCCCAAAGCCAGTACGTGCAGTAGGATCAAAGACCCACTGCCATTGTTCTTGACTTCTCAGTAGTCCTCATTGTCCGCTATGTTCAGCTAGTCCGGTTTTATCCGAGGTTTTTTTCAGACCCAGGCCAGCTGGCCTTGGTGAGTTCCCGATAGAACATCCCCATTGTCTCAGTGTGTGGGTGCACCCCTCGTGGTCCTGAGTTCCTTGCTCGTACTCTCTCTCCTTCTGCTCCTGATTTGGACCTTGAGATTTCTATCCGGTGCTCCAAATTGGGTCTCTGTCTCTGTCTCCTTTCATCGCCTGATGAAGGTTAATATTCAGGAGGATGTCTATATGTTTTTCTTTGGGTTCTCCTTATTTAGCTTCTCTAGGATCACTAATTATAGGCTCAATGTCCTTTGTTTATGGCTAGAAACCAAACATGAGTGAGTACATCCCATGTTCCTCTTTTTGGGTCTGGCTTACCTCACTCAGGATAGTGTTTTCTATTTCCATCCATTTGTACGCAAAATTCAAGAAGTCCTTGTTTTTTACTGCTGAGTAGTACTCTAATATGTATACATTCCATACTTTCTTCATCCATTCTTCTATTGAAGGGCATCTAGGTTGTTTCCAGGTTCTGGCTATTACAAAACAATGCTGCTATGAACATAGTAGAGCATATACTTTTGTTGTATGATAAGGCCTCTCTTGGGTATATTCCCAAGAGTGGTATTGCTGGGTCCAGGGGTAGACTGATCCCGAATTTCCTGAGAAACCACTACACTGCTTTCCAAAGTGGTTGCACAAGTTTGCATTCCCACCAGCAATGGATGAGTGTACCCCTTTCTCCACAACCTCTCCAGCAAAGGCTATCATTGGTGTTTTTTATTTTAGCCATTCTGACAGGTATAAGATGGTATCTTAAAGTTGTCTTGATTTGCATTTCCCTGATCGCTAAGGAAGTTGAGCATGACCTTAAGTGTCTTTTGACCATTTGAACTTCTTCTGTTGAGAATTCTCTGTTCAGCTCAGTGCCCCATTTTATAATTAGGTTGATTAGATTTTTACGGTCTAGTTTCTTGAGTTCTTAATATATTTTGGAGATCAGACCTTTGTCAGTTGCAGGGTTGGTGAAGATCTTCTCCCAGTCAGTGGGTTGCCTTTGTGTCTTAGTGACAGTGTCCTTTGCTTTACAGAAGCTTCTCAGTCTCAGGAGGTCCCATTTATTCAATGAGGCCCTTAATGTCTGTGCTGCTGGGGTTATACGTAGGAAGTGGTCTCCTGTGCCCATGTGTTGTAGAGTACTTCCCACTTTCTCTTCCATCAGGTTCAGTGTGTTCGGACTGATATTGAGGTCTTTAATCCATTTGGACTTGAGTTTTGTGCACGGCGATAGATACGGATCTATTTTCATTCTTCTACAGGCTGACATCCAGTTCTTTGTATTAAATTTTGCATATCTGTTTAAACATTCACTCAATTTCTACCACCCAGACCATGTAAGAGGTTGAAGACAGGAAGACTGCTTGTTCCCAAAGGTAAGACTCCAAATATGTGACACTCTGTCCTCATAGGATGTAACATCAGTGATCCCCTAGACAAAACAACCACTCACACTTATAAGACAAACACAAACCACTTCGGGTGAAGACCCTTTTCTCTTTTAGAATATGTTTTCTCCATAGTGTTATGAAAAAACCTTAAGTTGGGTGGCAAGAGCTTTTCATTCCCATTGCAACACAGGGTTCTTGTTTGTTTTTTTTGTTTTTTTTTTTTTTGATTTTTCGAGACAGGGTTTCTCCGTAGCTTTTGGTTCCTGTCCTGGAACTAGCTCTTGTAGACCAGGCTGGCCTCGAACTCACAGAGATCAATGTTAGCCTGGTCTACACAGTGAGTTCCAAACCAGTAAAGACTACTCTATAAGACTCTGTTTTTGAAGACAAAATAAAATAAATATCATACTTAGAAACTATGACCTAACAGTTCTATACAGCTGAAGATGGTGAATAAATGACAGGTCTTGTTGTGAAGTTTGTCTAAAAAGACATAAACAATGAAAAGAATGACAAACAGGAATGAAAGACATCTCACTAGAGTAGTATCAGTATTTAGTCAGTACTTACGTATCATACCTCTGCAATGGTGTCACTTTGTTCTTATTCTTATCAACTGAACCCGTAGATAGCTGAAGAAAATTGGGATTTAATTTATATAATTCTTGCAGTAGCTTCTGTTCATACTCTTGGTGTTTACCCGCCTAATAAAAAAAGAAATTAAAACTGCAGTGGGATTCAAAAAAATAAGTCTGGCATGAAATGCTTAGCTACTTTTGAGTTATTAAAGGTACAGTAAAGAGGACAATAGTTTTCTCAGAGTCAGAATCTGAGGATGATGCTACCAAACTTTTAGACCAACAAGTCATTCCAGTCAAGCTACATACACTACGGAAACTCCAGAGACCAAATCATTTCATCAGCACCATATGTAGAGAACAATTTCACTACATCAATGCACCAGGAGGGTGCTGAGCTAGCTCAGTGGGTAAAGGCATTTGCTGGCAAGCAATGCAACCTGAGTATGATTCCTGGAAAACACATATAGTAGGAGAGAATGAACCCCACAAGCTATCCTCTGACTTCTACATATGTGCTGTGGTATGTGTGCATGTGCACACATATATGCACATGTACACACACATACATACATACAAATGAATAAATACAATAAAAATTTTAAACTACCTGCAGTTTCTTTCATAAAACTAAGTCCTCTAATAGGTCACTACTTAGTTAGCTTTACCTGTCAGCTGAATACAACTGAGAATCACCTAGAGGAATACCAACTAAGGAATTGCCCAGATCAGTAGCCTGTGGGCATGTGTGCTGGGGATTATCTTGAGGGTTAATAGATGTAGGAGAGCCTGGCCCAGCCCACTGTGGACACCATTCCTGGGCTATAAAAGAAAACTGGCTGTATATAAACACATCAGTAGGAAAGTAAGCAGCATCTAAGTTCTTGCCCAGACTTCCCTCAAAGATCAACAATGTGTGAGCTAAAATAATCCCCTTTTCTCCCATAAATTGCTTTTGGTTATGTTGTTTGAAGAAAAGAAAACCAGAACATTTGATGATTAAACAAAATTTATCAATAGATTTCTGCTTTTATTTAGAGATTAACAGCACAATGAATTCACAGTTTTCTTACGTTTTTCTTTATCTTAACACCAGGTAAAAATGTCATTAATTTGTTTTTATTTGCTACTTTCTCCCTACCCAAAACAAAATAAAAATTAATGTCTTAAACTTCTAAACCAGGAATAAATAGTTTGCAGACAGTTCCTTTTGTCAAAATGCTTTGCTGGGACACAGTCTCACTACTCATTTATTTACGGTCTACATGCTGTCTTGCTACAAAGTCAGAGTGAAGTCGTACAGCAGGGATAGTGGAGCACAGTGACAGATGCTGCACAGCCTAGGAATCCTAAAATACTTTACTAGACTGGTCTTTATGGAAGACCTTGCTGGTACCCACTGTATATTCAAGAAAACACTCCTTTCTTGTATTTTGGGATAGCTTTCTATCAGAAGGCAATGTCACAAATGGTACAGGAGAAACCAGGCAAGGATCACTGTAGAAGCAAACAATAAACAAAATAAATGGCAATGAAAAAAACTTCTGAGCAGCATTTAACCACCTATATGTGTCTTGAATAAAAGGACATTTCACTTACCAATGGGAATACCAACTATTTTAAGACTGTGATTTAAGTACATACTGTGGCAAAATGAAAATGCAACAGAATAAAATAAAATCAAAATATGAAGTAAGGGTGGTATCATCTAACTTAGTACAAACAGCTGTATCATGTACAGCACACACAGCACTGCTCCCTACTCTGATACACAAGCTGGTTACTCAATTTTGAGTTATATAGTAACAAAGATGGCTTTTGGATTTTGTCATGATATCACTTTCTCAAATTTTCTTTCCATACTGAGAAATATTTCAGAATAAAAACTATCAAATAATTTTAAACCCAGGATAGTAAGTTGTAAGATAAGAAAAATATAAGATAGACTTGGAAATCCTTAGACAAATTTTCACTGTAATAGCATGTGAGTGTTGGGTATACAGACACTACTTAAAATACAGTTTGAAATGTTTCATCTAGTTTTCATCCCAGAAGGTTGATCCAGGCGCTCGGGCGATGACTCAATGGGCAGAGCGCTGCTGTACAAGCACAAGGACGTGAGTAAGGGACCGTGTGTGCATGCTCGTGCCTGAACAAAACAGAGTGTATATGGAGAAGACAGTAGGATAACTGATTAGCCAGTCTCAGATCAACCAAATAGACCCTGACTCAAAAATTAAGGTGGAGAGCCATCCAAAAAAACATGTTATGTGTACCTTTGTTTTCCACACACCCATGCGCACACACTCAAAAGACAAAGTTTCATTTTAAAAAAAAATCACTCATAAACAATAAACAAAATCTTTTAAAATACTAACTGAAAAAATATGTATTTTGTCTAATTGTCTGAATATCATTATTTTAAACACTGTTGTTTTTTTTTAATTTCAAAGACAATGCTGTAAAAAGTCACCAAGATGTTTAATATAATGGGACTTAATCTGCATTTACTCCAAGTCAAAAAGAGACAAAACTTCATGCTGTATACAATCTGCCTTTAAAGGAGCTCATATGTTTTCTAGTTTGACCTGGAATAAAAAGTAGCAATGAATGCCCCCCACCTTCTAAATGAGAAGTATTCCTGCAAAAGTCCACAGCAACAATCTGAAGTCCTCATCTACAAAAGGGAACTGCAGCATTGTGCTTTGGTATAATCCTCATTTTAATAGGCCGTATGGTCAACATTTTTACTTGTAAAAGCATGTTTATACTACAAATTGAAAGGAGACAGGAGAAGAGGAAAGGTAAAAAAGAAGATAGGATATCAAGCCTTCAAGTCACCTTTTATAGGACACTGACTACTCTGTGGACACTTTGAAAGGAGAGTCACTGCTTAAAAATGGTATCAGCATCATTGGACATTTTCTAGAATATTCTATAAAGAGCAGAGGTTGAACCAAAACAAACAAAAGCAACAGTGACAAAACCCAACTAATAATTACTGTAACTCCTTGGCTTTCTTATTGCTGACACTCTCCTTACGTGTTTCCTGCGGCCAGCTAGGCTCCCGTTTCAATATACGCTAGCACATTAATTAAAACCTCTAGAACATATGCTGATATACTAACGTCACTTTCTGACTTAGCTGACCACAGACTCATTTTTATTGTAACCATGTCTGCATAAGAGACATTTTAAGAAATACTTTAGAAATGCTACTTTAAAGTAATACCACCTTTTAAAAAACTCAAATCTTAGTGCTCACCCATAATTTTAACTTTAAAAGCAATTCCTTTCATACTAAATTGGTAATTCACATGAGTTTTACTACCTGCATTTCCTCTTTTGTGAAGCTGGCTGCCTCATCTCCCAATTCATGCAGATACATGCAGTCAGGCTTTGGGCACTGCATATTCTTTAAGAAGTAACTGCAGTATTTTGTTGTCCCTAGAGATGCCTGTAGGAAGAAAAGCAGAGCAGGGGAAAGCACACTCAAAATTATGAACTGATACCACAATATCAATTTCCATCACTAATGTTATTACTTCACCTAAAATGAGACACAGACAGAACAAAACATGACTGAGAAGACTATGGAGCTGAACTATTACTGGTGGACTTCATGTAGACATCACTTAGATGACATAGAGAAAATCTAAGTGAATGCTTTCCAGAACTGGCAAATTCAGACCTTTTTCTCTAGGAATCAGGGCAGAGAAAAGTCTGTTCCGTGTTTATTAAGTAGCTTGGTACAGAAGAATGGAAATTCCTCTTTCTAACGATGCCATCCTTTTTTCATTTGCACTGGTGGGACTATTTGCCCAAACATAAACCAAAGATCAGGTATTTAGTAACAACAAATCACAACTATTACCTGTTTCTGAGGAGAATAGTTCTATTTTCATAAAATAAGAAAAACATGAATCGAAATCTTAAAGTATTATTCCTAAATAATGTGTATTTCTACCCAGTAAATAAAATAAAACAGAGCACTGCTCAATACTAAATAATTTGTGTATAACAGGTTGGTACAGAAAGCAAAAAGACAATCTTTAAATTAAATGCCTTCAAAGTTACTGCTTAAATATCAGGTACTCCTCTACTTTTTAATATTACCCCTTCCTCTTAAAAGACAGAAAATAACCAACAGAAACATATTACCTTAAGTGTCCTGCCGTCTACTACCACATTGTTGACACACTGTATTGCTCTGAGAGCATCTTCTGACCGGATATAGGTTACATAAGCACTGGCACTCGGACCCTAAAGCAAAGCACATCCCATCCCACTGTTATTAGTTTCAAATTAATACTGAAAAATAAAATTCTTTTGCAACCTGCCTAAGAATTCTAAAGGTTTTTATTTTACTACTGACACTATTAATAATAATGGCATTAATTAGAATAGTTTTGATATAATGCTGGTCCTTTAATTAGTTTATTTAAAAGCACTCATACTTAAATTTTACCTGACTATAAGTGGATTATAACATACATAAATAAAATAGTATTTTTCCTCCCCACACCCCTCATTTTTGAAAAGTAACTTGACAGGCTCATCAAAGTTACAAAAAAATTTAAAAGGTCAGATTTAAAGACACTGTATGAAAGTAAATGCTCTCAATAATAAACGCGATCTGTACAAGTTGTTAACTAATGCCAGTTGGACAAAGCTGCTCTATTAAGTTTTCAATATCTAAAATTAATAGATTATAAATCATTATCTAATTATCAGGTTGCCTGGTAACCACCCCCACCCCTTAATCCCTTCAATAAACTTTTGTTTTCTATTTCCTTCTTATTCCATCAAGCCATTCGCTCTAAGTCCTGAGGGATTGAATGAACAAAAAAATTCCCCCAGCCCACCAACAGAAGTCACTGCACTGTATATATAACTCCTTTGACCCTTAAGCCTTCTGACTACAGAAAGCAAATTTTCCTTCTGACAGCCCAGGACAAGCCCAGACCATAGGGAGGAAAGGCAAAAATCCCTATAATGAATTACCTGTGAGCCTGCATATGATGTGCTATTATTGATGACAACTTTATGTATTTTACCAAACTTCCCAAAATACTCTGGTCGTTTTAAAACCTATAAAAGAAGAAGAAATAAGGCATAAACTGTCCCCGTTTAATCATTTTTATCCTTATAATGGGGACATTCACCATCCCTTGTAAGTGAAAAGCACACTGGTAATTTTTTAAGTTTCTAATTAATGTAACTACCTCCTAAGTGCATTTATGCACCTAACTCACAGTATATTTTAAGAGTCTAAGAGCTATTCTTTTTTTGAACTGAGACTTAAGAATTGTTTGGCATTCCTATGTTCTAATCAATTATCTATGGGATCTTACCTTCACAGAATTCAACTGTATTATCACTAATAAATGATTTTCATGAAGCAGTAATGATCAAAACAATGATCAAAGTTACATACAAGAACAGAGAGATAAAGAACAGACATAAGTAATGATATTTATGTCTCATAAACCTATTGTATATTATACTAAGTCATTGGTTATAAATTCCAAATATATTAATAGCATCCCCTCAACCTTCTATGCTTTATGATTTATTATACAGTTTGTGTATAATTTCCTATGTTAGTAAACTCATTATTTTGTATTGTCTCATGGATTACTATGTCCTCAATCTCCGCTGCTAAGTTACATCGGGAAAATCCATTTACATTCTTCCTCCAGTGCCTTAGTCACTTCTTGTGTTTTCTTGTCCTTGCCTCTCTCTCACCTGTTACTCTGTCATTACTACAGTGCTCCTTTAGATTTTCTTACAAACTTCCATAACCTTGATTAATACAAAATCTCTCCCATGACTTAAAACTATCTCAACATTAAATTTTGTTCTTCTCCTAAAAATTACAGACAGTAACCTCTTGCCCAATGAACAGTCTATGTTGTGCCATTAATTCTTACCAGTTTTCAACTTAATCTCACTACATTTTGACTGTTTATAATAAAAGATTTTCTACAGCCAGTTTTAATGGATTAAAAGATTAAAAGGTGACTACAATGGTTTTCCACTTTTTTTCCTACCCAGACCCTTAACTGACAAAACAACAATGGTAGCTAATGAAACGAAATCTCGTGCTCAGAATGTTTCAGGGCTTAAAGACGGAGAAGGAAGTCATTTGAAAGGGAGTTTTCTTCTAGTCTGTAGAATCTGAAATGGCATTCAATATTCCAGCTAGAATTCAGCTACCAGGCTCCCAAGGCTGGCAGCACACAGCTGCTGTCCAGCAGCACCTCTGATCATAAGTAGGCCTATAGTAGCAGCTCAATGAAGAAAGCACTGGGGGAGCACTTTAGAGATCAGCGGAAGTTTTAACTGGGGGAACACTCCAAGCATTCAAAGGAAGGAAACCAGGGATTCTTCCATGGTTCTAGCCCTGCCCAACAGTGGTCCTCTAGACCTCTGAACATCCTACAACATATAAATATAACTATGAGGACTGTTTATAATTAAGGGAAGTTAGAATTTTCAAATTATATATAAAGTATTTTCTCAGTTATAACAAAAATTTAATTTACAGATGATATGTAATTAAGGAAAGAGTATACATACTTTGAAATTTACTAGTTCTTTTGCAGAAATCACATCATTACATGGCACAACATTGCCAATACATATACTACCTTGGTGCGGGAGAATTGTCTGTATTCTGTTAATCGTGTTTTAAATAAACTCTGATTGGCCAGGAAGGGAGTTTAGGTGGGAAAACCAGACAGGAAGTAGAAATGATGCAATGAGAACAAGAGAATTATAGGAAGGAGGACGTTGATTCCTCCCACTCCTGCCCAGACCACCAAAGCAGCAGGATGTGATCTGCCCCACTGAAAAAGGTACTGAGACACATGGCTAACATAGATCAGAATAATGGGTTAATATAAGCTACAAGAGCTAATAAGTAGCCTGACCTAATGGGCCAATCAGCTTTATAACTTATAGAGATCTCTGTGTGATTATCTTTGGGGCTTGCCAGCTGTGGGGTACCAGGCAGGAGAGAAACCCAAGCAAGCCGGCCTTTATGTTACACTACCTGTAATAATCTACATTATTAACTGCTATATTTAGTGATTCTACAAATTAGATGAAAGGTTATTTTGTAGTATAAAAACACTATTCCAATAGAAACTGAATATTAATGTAAAACCATTTGAGAGACAAGTTAAAAAAGAAATTCATATTCAATAGGTCTAAGACAGACGTAAGACTTGAGATTGTAAACTCCAAAGTAATAATAATGCTTCTGGCTTAAAATGGCAAAGAACACAGGTAGGTAGGTTCTACAGTAGCTGTGCCCAAGCACTGACATGCAAAAAAGGTCTTTTCATCACTGTTTTCCTTGATATATATTCTGAATTATACAGAGAGAGTTTACACCATCAAGAATTTATTTTTAATTGTATTAGTGATATTTGAAACACTGAATTGTTCCTGTTCATAAGTCTTTTCAAGGAAAGTGAAATGTCCTTTTGGGATTTTGTTCATACTTTTAGTTTTTTATCTAAGTATCCTATTCATATGTACACTTCTTCATCCTTGTCTTTTGAAGGCATTACATATGACAGGTGTGGTAGTGGCAGCACTTGAGAGGCAGAGGCAGGTACATCTCAAAGTTCAAGGTCAGCCTGGTCTACAGAGTTAACAGAACAAACAAAAAAAAGGTGTTATATGCTATGGAGGTTTTTTCACTTCTGGGAAACCTATGCTGTCTCCTCGAAACTGGAATACAGGCATCCCACCTGATACAAGAGGAGTTAGGGCACAGAAGAGAACAAGAGCTTAGACTAACCCAACAGAAAAACAGTGGCATATATGGCCAGAGAGGTAGTTTGCGATAAGGTCATGTAGTATGCAGGCCCTTATATTAATAAAAGCTGAAGAATATTGTAAGAAAAATGAAGGATACAATCTGTTTGGCAATGGGGTAGAGTACAGGCTTATAGAAGTAAAGGCAAGGGCGAACTCAGGGAACCATTATTTAGAAAGTAATAGCACCTGTGTGCTAAATGCTGTTGACTGGTCTGGTGAAAGTAAGTCATTAAGAAAAAGATAGGTAGCCAGGTGGTGGCGGCGCATGCCTTTAATTCCAGCACTTAGGAGGCAGAGACAGGAAGATCTCTAGGAGTTTGAGGTTAGTCTACAAAGCGCGACAGGACTACACAGAGAAACCAACAAAAAGGAGGAGGAAGAGGGAGGGAGGGAGGGAGGGAGGGAGGGAGGGAAATAGATAATGTTTCATTTAAGAGCAGTGATTCTGGATTCTGGTTGTACATTGGAAGTAATTTGGGGGTTTTGGCAAATTATTGATACAGGTCTTTCCCCAAAATATTCTGATTCAAGTACTCTAGATCACACAAAAATTCATAGTAAAATACAAATGAATGTGATCTAACAAAACAAAACAAAACAAAAAAGGAAGACACATTATATAGTATTAGATTGTTAAAAGTAATCAATGAACCACTTTTAGAGTTGAAGAGTTGAATATCTGATTTATGGAAATAGTTTCTGGTAAACATTTGGGCATTAACACCTTCATGACAAAAAATACGATAGGTATAAAATTACAATTGACATGCCCATATGATAGCCAGAATGGTATTTCCAGAGCAGAGATCAAGCACATCATTCTATTCTTGAGAACACTCAACAGCTTTCTATTGCTTTTAGGATAAAATACAAACTCCTCAGAATTGTTGGCAAACCTTTCAAAATTATATGCCACTCAACTTGCCCCAACCACTTTTCTCACCATTGAATTCTAACCTTCCAGACAAAGAAATCAGATTGCATGAAGAGGTTTCTCTTTAGAAACCCTTGGACATTCCCTGATTAGGAAAACACTTTAGCCCAAAGATAGCAAAGACAAGCATACCCTGCAACAGTCTGCTACTGTCCTAATGTGCAACACAGTGCTCCTCACACAAGACTGTTACCTCTGCAAATAAACAGGTGTTGTTTTATATATTGTATATGTTCAGTGTGTTACACACAGCTGGCATGATTTAGGTACTCAATGGGTTTTAAATGAAAAAATGAATTGTGTTAGCATTAAGTGAAAAGAATTACATAAAAATCTAGGTGTGGTAGCTCATAACAGAAGCCTGAGGCAGAGGGATTTTCAGGACCTCAAGGCCAGTATGGGCAACAGAAGGTCTCAAAATGAGAAGCAAAATTTGAATGTGTACATCAATAATACTGGTAGGCTTCTAAGTGTTAGTGAATAACCAATGGTTGATATAAAATAGGCTGTTATGGCAAAGGAAATTCAAAGAATTTAAACATTACATATTAACATGAACACTATAGATTTTTACCTAAACTACTGATAAACAGAGGCATTTTTTGAAACATAGTCAAGCATTCATGGACACCACTAAGAAAAACAAAAACGTGGCACTCAAAGGCTGCTTAGTGGATAATGAATGGACTAACAAAGCAATCATCACCACAGAATACACCAGAATAGGAGAAGCTCTATCAATAAACAAGTCATTCAAACTGCTTTGCCTCAGTTTCTCATTTATAAAATGAAATAGCTGTGCTTTAGTAGCCACATTCCTCAATGCTCTTTGGAGCTACCACATACCAAGGACACGACCTAATCTTACTGCTGCACAGCTAATACTATTAATTCTCAAAGCAGAACTTTATCATTTTTTTCTTGGGGAGGTTTTTAAGTGCATATATACACACACTCACCATGTTCATGTAATACCCTCAGAAGTCAGAAGAGAATGTTAGATTTGCTGGAACTGGAGTTAAAGGATGATTGTGAGCCACCTGTAGGTGCTCAGAACCAAACCCAGAACCTCTGCAAGAACACTAAATGCTCTGAAATGCTGAACCATCTCTTCAGTCCCCTACTTCTCTTTTATAAATGCTCAGGAATGTGTGAGCACTTCAATTCTGTCTTCTCTAACCTATAAATTTGCTAGGAGCAGTCTATGTCTGGCTTGCTACCTAATTTACCTTCAGTAACAAACACAGCATCCATAAAATTCAAATTTTAATAAGAACGATTATCTCCACAAACTTGATATCTTATAACTTTTAAGATATAATTATCTCTTAATCAAATTACCATAGCTTCTGAAATTTTTTTCTTCTAATAAAGGAATACACTTGATAACTGATCTTGATATAAGTTTTTCTGACATACAAAAGTTATTTTAAAACTACATTTTTAGGACTTTAATATATATAATACATATACATATATAATACACACATAGATATATATAAAAATTTACCTCTTAATCATCATCAAATTACCATAGCTTCTAAGATTCTTTTCTACTTACTAATGAAAGAATACACTTGATAATCAATCCACTTCTAAATGTTGCTCCACATTGTGAGAGCTGGCTAAACTAAAGATCTATAAAACAAAAGATAAATTCACACCCAAAAGCTCTAAAATCAAGATCAAAGTCCCAGCAAGTTACTGAAATAGCAATTTCAGAAAGACAAAAGTAAGCTCTAAGATTAGCAAAAAGTAACAAAAAGACAGAAGCCAGAGAGGTAAGCTCAGCAGGTTAAAGCTCTTGCTAACCCCAGAGCCCACATAAAACAAAGGTCAAAGAAAAGAACCAACTTGCTAAAGTTATCCTCTAACCTCCAGATCATGAGTGTGAGGGTACACACACACACGGGTAGGAAGGAGGGAGGGAGAGAGGGAGAATAAAACGTTGTTTTAAAGGCAGAGCTGAAAGAGACAAAAACAGATTCGGGCAAAGGTTTAGTCCTGTTCAAGAGAAGTGGTCACAAATGAGGTGGGAGTATGTCTGCCTCAGGAAAGCAAAAAATGAAAGCTTACAAACAAGATGGAAGAAACAACTGCTGAAGATGAGTTGTAGGTCTTAATATTTCTTCAATATTTCTTACTGAAGTCCTTTGTTTGCTTGAAATCTTTTCTTTGTTATTTTGTGACAGGACCTTCCTTCTGCAGCTCAGGATGGCCCAACACTCATTAAATAGCCAGGATGGTCACAAACTCATGGTCTTCTTGTTTTACCATCCTCAATGTTTAGACCACAGGTATGAATTCTTACCAACACCTCTGCAAAGAAATAGGTCTCCAGAATGAGATGTAAACAGTATTGCCAAGTTCCCTGGACCTAGATTCCTAGTAATTTTTGTGTGTAGCGGCTGTAGAGGGCAGGATGGGGGAGTATACATGTACCATGGCACACATATGTTGAGGTCAGGAGACAGCTTTGTAGAGTTACCACTCTCCTTCTCCCTAAATTACATGCGATTCAGGGACTGAACTCAGGTCACTGAGCCATCTTACTGACCCAGATCTTAGTAATTCTTGAGTTGTATCAATTTTAATACTCATGATAGGTTCTTCCTGAGATTCTCCTCTATTGATCTGAAGAAATTTTAAGGTCTTAATATAAACTCATCAATTGGTAAATATTTAGGCTTTACAAAAAAAGCCAGCAGGTTCAGTTATGGTTAGATATAAAGTTAACCCCTACCTCCCTCCCCATCTCCTGCCAAAATGATCATATACTGAAGGCTTGGTCTGTAGCTAGTAGATATGAAAGCTTTGTCCTAATCAATGATCAATTTGCTAATGGATTCATACCTGAATGGACTACTGGGAGGTGGTAGAAACTATAAAAAGTGGGGCCAATGCAGATGAAGTGGGTCACTGAGGTATGCCTCTGAAAGGTATCTTGTTCCCAGTTCTTATTCTGTCTGTCTGTCTGCCTTTGGCTGCATGGGATGAGCAGCATTTTCTTTCACATTCAGTTGCTAGCAGGATAATCTATCTCACCTTAGGCCCAAAGCAAGAGCCAGCTAAAGGAAATCTCAGTCAGAAACTATGCATCAAAATAAATCTTGTTTTGTGTTTTTCCCTAGGTATTTGCCACAGTTAGAAAAAGCTGTCAGCAACAGACAAGTGAGTGTTCCACTACAGAGCTAATCTCCAGCACTATGAGGAACAGTACCTCCAACCGATTTCAAGAACTTTTCTTGGAAGACTATCCAGAGTTAGCACTTTCCTACTGATGCAAACATTCTAGCTGATACTGAGCTTTAATTTTCCTTCCCAATAATCTTGCTGGCACCTCATGGTATAGTGGAGATTAAAAATTAGCAGATGTATATCCAAAGCCCGCAAGAATGTATGAGATTAGAGAAACTTTGAAAAGACTAATTGAAGGAGGAGAAAAGAGACATCAATTAGAGAATTAAACCACAAAAAACTTGGTCTTTAACTTTGTCAAATTCTCCTTTCCATAAAACTGGTTTAGAATGACAAAGTAAAGGAATGATGATAAACTACAACAGTTCTGAACGAACAAGAGCTACTACTTGGGGAGCACCAAGATGGCTCAGCGATGGTTCAGCTGGTAAAGACACTCACTGTTGGGGCTGAGGACCTGAGTTAGAGCCGCAGAACCTTGCAGAAGGTAAGAATGCATCTGACCTCTATGCATTCACTGTGGCAGACACATGACTACTTGGGTAGCTCATTAAGATTACTTAATAGGTTCAAGTAACTGTCTCCAATTACTTGATCCACACAGCTACAGAAAAAGGAAAGAAAAAAAAGAAAAGAAAAAAAAACCAGTACTCACAACTCCTGTTAACACTAAGGACAACTGGAACATTATTTTCACAAGCACTAAAAGGGACTTTTAGTTCAAGCCCTTAGTTTCTCAATAGAAACTGAAGCCCAGAAAGATGAAGGCATGCCTAAGATTACAATTTGCCACAGGTTCTTAACCATTATTAAAAATTATTATTATTCATACTTTCTCCCAAGACTTATTATTTTCAGAGGAATCTTCCAGTTTATCAGTATCAATTACTTTCATGCTGACAATGAAAGCAGAGAGGACTTACTTCTGGGTCTGCTAGGCGCTGAGACAGACCTACAACAAAGACGAGGTTTTTTTGTACCACACGTACACTAGCCAAATGTTTTCGATTTTCTGAAATTTTTTGTTTTCTCTCATTTTGTTTCTGTTTTTTCTCATTCTTTATCCTTTGCAATTCTTCCTGTGAGAGTGGTTTATAAACTGCTGGGTCTTCTGGATATGGCTATAAGTATAGTAAACAAGATAAAGTTAGCATTAAATAGAAAAACTGCAGAAATGACAAATATCCAATTCTGAGCAGCAGGTGTAAGACAGATAGTGTCTTCTGACTGTTTCAACTGCTTTCCAATATTTTTATTAAATAAAAGTTAAAAGCTATAAAACATTTTTTTAAAGCTTAGCAGAGATCACTTTTAGCACAAATGTCAAAATGACAAAAATCAACCCAATCAATCTTGGTATTATACCTTGCACACAGTGCTTCTAAAACACTGTGTAAAAAGCAACGAAGATCCAGGCTCAGGTTGCTGCTGAAGGCCCTGGTGCTATAGCAGCCAGGGCTTGTGCTGATGTTCATAGCTCCTGTTGTCATAAGGGTCATGTGGATTTCTGGAATCTGAGCCACCACCTTGGGCTCTGTGGGTGTCTGAGAGCCACAATACTACCAGGATCATGCCAATCTGAATGGATCACACAGCCAACTAGGGTCATGGTGACTTCCGCACCCAGGTTGCTACCAGTGACCATGTCTGGGTCCATGGTCCTATTGCAACCAGAATCTGTGCTTAAGTTCATATTGCCACAAGGGTCATGTGGATGCCCAGGGTCAGGTTAGCCACCAAAGATTACATTGGTAGTTAACGGACATGCTTGGAGCCAGGGTCAAGCAGATTGAAGTGGTATGTGCTGCTACCCAATGACAGGGTGACATTGGGGTCAAAGCTGCAGCTGGGGGCCATGTCTGGGTCATTGGCCCTACTGCAGTTAGGGTCTGTGTTAATGTCCAAGGTTTCTGTTACCATCAAAGACCATGTGAATGCCCAAGAATTGAGGTCAAGTTAATGTCACTGGGGCTGTGCTGCTCTGAGTAGCCTGCACTGTCACCTGGGGTAATGGTGACATCCAGACCTGCTGCTCCCGAGGACCATGTCTAAGACCTTTTCTGGGTCTGCGGTCTCACAGCAGCCAGGGTCTGTGTTGCCACCAAAGATTACACAAAAGCTGGAGGCTAGGGTCCTAACCTATTACCTTGGTCATGTCTGAGGGCCATGCCGCCACCAGAACCATCCTGAGGGCCTATACTCCCATCCGGAGCCAGGATGTTATCCAGGCTGGGTCTATGGTCCTGCTGCAGCTGGGGTTTCTGTTGATATCTGTTGCCCAAGTAGTCTCAGGGGATAATGGGTACCATGTGTGATGGAATCAAAGAGCCATGCTGAACCAGGCCTAGGACATTTGGCTCTGACCCTCACTGGACCCCACAGCAAGAGAACTGCCCTCTCCCACCACACACACACTTGAGAAAGATGGTCCTATCCCTCACCACAGGTAAGAGAGAGCTAAAACTGATTGCATGGGTATAGGGAGGGCTGAATCTGCCCTTCAACTGAGGGGGGTAGCTTCAGCGACCTAGACTGACCAGCTCAACTACTCCCCAGGCAAACAGCTGGCCCTTGAATTGGCCCACCCTAACATCCACCACATCTTGGACCTTCTGGAGCTCATGAAGGGACTGGTCCTGTGGAATAAAACCCGCAGGATCTCCAAAATGGGGTAGCCACGAGACATCTAAGAGGAGTTCCAGAGAGGATCCAGTGATGATGGTGTACCAGAAACCAGAGGCCTTGAACCAGTGACTCCTGCAATGAGTATTTGCTAGTAAAGCTGATTGGACAAAAGGGTGTACTGTGTGACACACCATGGCTCCCAGTGTTACCAGGAAGATGCGTTGGAGAGTCAGGAGAGATGGAAGAGCAGAGAGGGTTTTTGTTATTTTGGCTCTTTTGTTTTTCTTTTTGTTTGCTTTTTGTTTTTGTTTGATTTGTTTTTTTCATATCTGTTTGAGAGCTGTTGCTGGGGAAAGGGGAAGATATGGAAGGACTGGGAGGTGAATGGAATTGGGATGTATGATATGAAATTCCCAAAGATTCAATAAAGAAATTATGTTAAATACATTAAAAAAATCAAAGAATTTCCTGGTAGTTCTATCAACAAAATATGGATTTTATATATTATAATCAACAAATATCTTAAGGAAATCCCACTATGTGCTAAAATATTAAGTTTATATGCTTGTTTGAGTGTATGTGCTGGTTTGGGTGTACATGTGGAAGTCTCTACCTCATTTTTTTCAGACTTTCTCACTGAATCTGAAGTCCACAGATGGCTACGTTAGCAGGCCAGCAAGCTCTAGGGATCCTTCCCTATTCCACAGGTGCTGGGGTCATAGAAACATGCCTGACTTTACATGGATGCTCAGGATCGAACTCTAGTCTTCAGGAGTGCACAGTAAGTACTTGACCTACTGAGCCACGTCCTTAGACCACATCCTTTTTGATTGATCGTCTTAAATACATTCCTAGTCTAAGAGGAAGAAAGATGAGCATAAATATTTAGACTTTGGATCAAGAGTTCAAATTTAGTTTTAACATTATCTAGTCATGTGCCCATAAACAAATTGGTTTCTAAGCCTCAGTATCCTTATGTATGAAGTACAAAAAAAATCCTAAAATATGATGTAAAGATTTATCATTGTGTCCTCAAAAAATACCAGCAATCTCTCTGTTGTATGTCTTTTTCTTTTCCATCTCAGGATTATAGTATCTTCACTCCAACAGCTAACATCAGGGTCACTGGTGGACCAAAAATATGGAATCAGAGGGCCAGGCTTTGAATTCTAGCCAAGCTGCTCCAAAACTATATGATCATTAGCCCCAGCCTTCTCAACTGTAAAATGAGAAGCACATTTAACTAGAAGTTCTGTGGGAGTTAAGACAGTTAAAAGTGATTAAAATATGACCTGCATAAATAAGTACTAAAGACTCAGTTATCAGTACTACTAATAATAACAAATGGATGGCAGTCACTTAAAACTGAGTATAAAGATCCCAGAAAGATGTGATGGTTAATTTTCATTGTCAATCTGACTGAATTTAAAATCATCTAGACACACACACACACCTCTGGGCATGTCTCAAAGTCTGTATCCAGATAGGACTAGTGGAGGGGGAAATACCCCACACTAATGTGACTGGCATCATTCCATGGACTGGGTTGCACAACTGAATGGAAAGGTAAGAAAGAGGTAGGCTGAGTGTCTAAATGCCCCTCTCTGCTTTCTAACTCTGGTGAACTACTTTCCTATTTAGTACTAGAAAACTAGTGTGAATCACCCCACATATTAATACAGAACATGTTTTTCAAGTTCCATATTATTATCCAAACTCAATGGTTCTTTATGAATCTTCTTAATAAGAAAGCACCAAGACTGTGTCCCGTTTCCTTGGCTAGAGAAATTATAAGACTTTACAGAAGCAACACTGCTAGTTAACACAACAAAGGCAACACTTGACCATGACTCCCAGTCCAGTGTACTCTCTCTACTCCATTACACCTTAAAGATCACACAATGTTTGTGTTGGGTGGAAGACTTGTTTGTTGGGGGGAGGAGGGGGGTTAAATATCCTGTGGGAATGGTCTTGAGCATCTCTGGGGAGGGGTCATTGTTTGGTGGGCTTTCTGAGGGGTGGAGTCTGGACTGAGGCAACTTCCAGGGGAAGGGGCTTGAAATGGAACTTACACCTGAATAGTTTGTTTTAAAGCCAATCACTCACAGCTATGGGGAAACTATACAGTTAATACTGGACAGTAAAAAGTCCAGATAGTAAAATAGAGTTGTTTAGAAGCACTTACCTTTCTACACGCAGGACAAAGCCCATTCTCATCAGTGCGAATTCGATGCCAACAAAATCGGCATATCTGGTAGCCACAGGTGCAAGGGAAAAAGTTAATATCGTCTATCTCTAAGGGCTCCATACAAAGAGGGCATTCCACAGGGTCTTCCTTTGCATCAGGACTGCGAGACATCTTCACGCTTGTTAGACAGCAGCAAAGTTTATAATAATTTAAGGGAGAAGGAAATTCAGCACTGAGAGCTAAAATGTAGAACTCTGAAGACCTGCATGAGAAAAAAAAATCAAAAACATACCATTTACTACAGGAAAAATACTAACTTTTGCTATAATCACAGGACAGATTTCAGAAATTTTCCTCATATGAAGAAAAAAACTGGCATTATATTAGGTTTCAAATGCAATAGAAACTAAAAGAATTCCCATTTTTTTCCAGCTAAGACATTTAATACTGATCTAAACACTGTTTATAACACATTTTAGAAAAATATAAAATAAAGACCTTCAGTTATAAAATAACCTGTGACCAATGAAATGGCTCAGTGGGTGCATACATTTGCTACACAAGCCTACTGACCCGAGCTCAATCACTAGAGTTCACACGGGAGAGAACCAAGTCCATAAAGTTTTCCTTTGACTTCTACGCACACACCATGACATACGCATTCTCTGTCATATCATCCTCTTTCATAATAATAACAACAATAATAACGCTAAAAAGTTCAAAGCTATGCACACTTGACTATGCATCGTCCACTTAAAAGCTAATAAAGGACATAACAATTATGATAAGCAAAATGTACCACAATTAACAAAAGGAACTGATAAAAATCAATTTAATCACTTGGGCTGGAGAGATGGCTCAGAGGTTAAGAGCTCTGACTGATCTTCTAGAGGTCCTGAGTTCAATTCCCAGCAACCACATGGCAGCTCACAGTCATCTATGAGAGCTGATGCCAACACTATATACCTAACAATAGATAAACTCTTAAAAAACCACAGTAGAATGATAATTTTTAAAAAATTAATCACTTATAGTTACATATATAATTATATTAATGAAAAATTTTTGCCAGAGAAAATATAGCTTAAAACCAAGCAAGCATGCCATAACTGCTTACAAGTATGTAATATGATGCCAGTAAAAACTGCTGAACAAATAGATGTATTTATAAAATATTTCTATAGTAAATACTACAAAAAGCCTGTTTAAAAAAAAAAATCAAACAGAGAACAAATAGACCTTTCTAACCCAATCATGCTTTGTGAAATGTGAATTCTTTTTAAGTTACAGAGAGTTGAACACCACAGTTAACAATTTCATGCTGAAGGGTGAGTTGCAATCACTACATGCAGTTGAAAATGGAAAAGCTGCAAACAAGTCTACATCTGGATGCAGTCCTAGAGCACAAAGGTTTAGAAACAACACAAAATTGAACAAAATGATTTTAAAGGTCACACTGAAGAGCAGAGAGAACAACTGACTCATCTGAGGGCTAAATGTGACAATTAGCCCTATCAGTACTCAACTGTCTGCTATGGAGCTGAACTTCTTACTTCACAAAAGCAGAGAAAATATCAAAGAAACTAAAAAAAAAAAAAAGAAGAAATAGAAATAAACAATAATATTTTAATTTTTAACAGAAATCATACTACAAATCAATACAGATGAAATGGGCGCCCCCTCCCCATTTTTGTTTTTTGACACAAGGTCTCTCTGTAACAGCCCTGGTTGTCCTGGAACTCACTTTGTAGACCAGACTGGCCTTGAATACACAGAGATTCACCTGTCTCTGTCCCTTGAGTGCTGGGATTAAAGGAAGTGCCACCATCCTATAAGCAGTAAGACGCATTGGTACAGAAAGTGTCCCAGGTAGGGGCGAATCATTTTATAAATAATAACACTGGTACATATCTAATTTATACTATTAATAAAATAACACCTGGGGAGATTGCAGAGGACTTTATTCTCAGCAAGTTGGGTTTCTGAGTTAAGGCTAGGCTGGTCTCCACAGAGAGTTTCAGGACATCCAGGGCTATCCAGAGAAATCATGCCTCCAAAAACCAAAATAAATAAATAAAATAAAATAGCACCCAAAGGTGACTGGAAACTTATTTGGTATAATAAACTGCTGAAGTGTTGGAAAAATAAACAGGTGAGGCTTTCTTCGCCCACTTAAGCCGTGTTCACCCAAAATGAGAGGCATAAAAAGATATTGTTGACTAATATAAAAAGAAGAAAAGAAAATTAAAAGCAAGTATCCTAGGTTCAGTTCACATTACCCACATGATGGCTCTTAAACATCCATAGCTCCAGTTCTAGAAAATTCAACACCCTCTTCTGGCCTTTAAGGGCACATATGAAATCTTCAAAAAAAATAGACAGCCAAAGGTAGACAGATAGGTAAATAGATAATGAAGAAATAAATAAAAGTCTGTGTCTTTTATTCAATATACTGCCTGTATAAGAAGTTCTTCTACATACACACACCCACATAACAAATATTAGCAATCATTATATCAAAGAGCAAAATGTTGCCAACATAGCATCCAGAAATAGGTAAATCATTAATAGTTAAGATACAGAAATAAAGCTGTGAATGCTTATAATCCCAGCATGAGTGAAGTGGAGACAGGAAGATACAAGAATGCTGTGTGTCTATGCTACATAGCCAGATGTAGGCCATCTAGGGCTACAGTGTGAAACCCTAGTGAGAGAGAGAACGAGAAATAGCAATTTAATAAATTTTTGCAAGTTGACACAGAAAGAGATCTATTCATTATTTAAACTTTAAAAAGAAGAACAAGCTGAAGAATTACTCTTACTTTACATAACAAGACCTGTATATATAAACTTAATTTCACTAAGAAAATAAGACAAGAATGTTGACATAGCCAAAAAAAAAAAAAATAGAAGTAGTCATCTTCTGTTAGAAAAATCTGTTACTATCTGAACTGATATAAAAACGTTACTTTTTAAATTAAAGTGTCCAAAACCACTAGGTGGGTTGTTTTCATTTTCTTGAGAAAACGCCTGACTTTGATGACTAGATGGGGGATGCTGTTTTCTATCATACAATATGGGGCAGCCAAGCTGTACACTCCTATTTTTTACATAGAGAAAACTGACTGGAAATTCAGAGGAACTGCTGGTGATATGATATGTTCCTGAAATGTCTTCCTACGAGTTTGCAATTTTATTTAAAATTTAAAGTTTAAAAAAAGAAAGAAATGGATATGTATTCATAAACAATCCAATATTCCTAGCTTGTAAATCTGGATTAGCCATTTTTTCTATATTAAAACCAGGAATGCGGAATAGAATTCTGCTGAGTAACGTGAACATTTAAAACTAGAAAATAGGCTCCTTCCCAGCGTCCACCAATAGGAAACCAACCTGAAATTAAGAACTGCTATGTATACCTCTAATATCTGTGGCTTTAAGATGTTTTCTTTCCTCTTCTTTTCTGTCCTTTTTTTTGAGGGGGCGGGGGTACAGGGGGAAGGAAAGGGCCTCTCAATGCAGCCCTGGTTGTCCTGGAACTCACTATGTAAACCAGACTATCCTCAAAGTCAGTGCATTCGCCTGCCTCTGCTTCCTGAGTGCTGGTATTAAAGACATGCACCACCATGCCCAACTGAAAGACTATTTCTTAACTACACATCATTTGCATTTTAGTGAAATAATTTACTGAATGTTGAGAAGGAAACAATATATTGGGACTAGGAAATAACAAATCTTTCTAGAAAGTGTACCTCTACAAATAAAAAAAAACTTTCAAGGTTTCTTTAAAATTATTTTTAATTTTTAAAGGTTTTTAAACTGCATATTTTACATTGAGAAAGGAAGGAAGGACAAAGTAGCATGAGATAGTATAATAGATAATACAAAAGCAACTTCATCTGAATACTTTTGGTATAATGGACAGATTCCACAGAAGTGGGTTACCAAATGTTGTCCAAAAATCGTAAAATATATGTGGATAATCTGACATTTGAAGAAAAAAAGCTCATTTCCACCTCACCTTTTCCACTACTACATATATGATCTTGGGTAACACAGTCCAAAATTCTAGGATTTGACTTACCTCAAAAAACTGCAAACAGGGGGCAGTGAGATAGCTCAGAGAATACAGGTGCTTGCCACTAAACCTAAAGATCTGACTTTGATCCCTTGAAGTCATCTGGTAGAAAAGATGAACCAACTTCTGCATATTGTCCCTTGATAACATAGAGTTTGTGGTGTATACAAGCAAGCAAACACACACATAGTAAAACTACACATAGAAATTTAAATTTTAAAAAATTATTGTAAAAAGTATTTCTGCCAAAGGAGGGCAATATCCCAGAAAGACAGTCAAAAATTTAAAAAGGGACAATGAGAAAAGAACCCGATAAAAGTAAAAATAAAAAGAATAACATAAGCCGGGCGGTGGTGGCTCACGCCTTTAATCCCAGCACTCGGGAGGCAGAGGCAGGAGGATCTCTGTGAGTTCGAGACCAGCCTGGTCTACAGAGCTAGTTCCAGGACAGGCTCCAAAGCCACAGAGAAACCCTGTCTCGAAAAACAAAAAAAAAAAAAAAAAAGAAAGAAAAAAAGAATAACATATAAAGTATTGGTGGCTAACTTGCAAGTCTTAAGAATGGTAATAATAAAAAAACTAGTAAATAACAACATATAGGTAAGAGAAGAGCAAAATAAACTAATACACCTTGAAGTCCAACTGTAAAGATGGTAAAATTTAAAGTACAAACATGTAACACTCTACAATTACTAATTCCATATCCTTATAGCTACATTAGAGAAATGGGTGACCATTTGTGATGTGCCCACTTTCCCTAAATGAATGTTTATAAACATTTGTTTCCAATTAAAGGGAGATATGCTATAGAGATGAATTCTTTGCATTGGTATGGATCTTGGTTTATTGATACAAATTTTACGTCAATTTTGTTATATGTATATTTCTGTTCCTGATTAACGTATTGTGTTTCTACGGCTCATTTAAAAATGTAATGTATAATTAAGAAATACAGGTTAATAATCATCTATAATAGTCAAGCCTGTAGTCATATTAGTTAGGTTTTCTAATGTACAGAGATATATTTCAGATGGACAGGTATTCTACAAACCTTTCAAAGACTAACAGAATATGGCATTTAAAATGTTTTAAAAACTTAGGATTTTTCATGACAATGAGACTCATTTGCTCCTGGCAGCCCCAATCTACTTCAGGAGGATGATGAACATCAAAGAGGTTCCTTA